CAATATTTTTCTTGTGTCTGGCTCGAACTGGATCCTTTCTATGAAGAACAGGTTGAAGTATAACCAGACCCATGTGTGATTCAAGGCCGTTTCAGAAAATCTGGTCGTGCTGGTAGAGACATGTGCGACATCGGCACCTTATCAATCGCCTTGTGTTTGTGGATGTAGTTATCCATCTTCAGGCGTGCGAACTTGTTTTGACAATTGTGTTCGAACAGGATCTCGCTTAGTCTCACCACGGTGTCGATGTATCTTTCATAGTGATCCAACCGAGACGTTTTTGCGCCTTGTCTCCATTTTTCTATCTTCGAGTATATCGATACTAGTTGGGTTTTTCTTGTCCATGTACTTACTCGATCATATCAGCACGTACTTACTCGATCATATCAGCATGTACTTACTCGATCATATCAGCATGTACTTACTCGATCAGATCAGCATGTACTTACTCGATCAGATCAGCATGTACTTACTCGATCAGATCAGCATGTACTTACTCGATCAGATCAGCATGTACTTACTCGATCAGATCAGCATGTACTTACTCGATCATATCAGCACGTACTTATTAGACTAGCCCGTGCTGTCAACTTTCACTGATTCCGACATGGGGTTTAGATCAAGGTGGTTTTGTTTTGTTCGTCTTCGAACCTCCGGCGGCTGCAGTCATATCAAGCGGCAGCTGAAGTGGGGGATGCGGTGGGGTGGTTGAGGGTTGATGTGGGGGTAGGGTAGGGTACGAGGGTGACAGGACACAGGGCAATCGAGGGAGGAGGGGCGACCCATCAGTCCGTAAGGACAATGGGAGGGGTGCTGCGCCTGGAGCCTAACTGCTCGGGGTGGGGGGTCATCGGTGAGCACCAGGGGGTAGGTGGGTAGTGATCATCGACTTGACATCGACATCTCAGAGGGGGAGAGGGGGGTAGGTAGTTACTGTAGGCCCGGGTGAAGGAGGCTTGGGGTATGGGAGAGGTGGTAGATCGAGGGGGTAGGTCTTTGTAAGTTTAAATTCAGCAGGGGTGCTCGGCCTGTAGGGTAGTCAGAGGTACGGGTAGTGTCAGAGTAGGGTTGTAGGCAGGAGGTGGGGTGGCTCCAAACCATCGCGAGGCGAATGCTGGGCAAGCTTATGCAGCTGCAGTCAGATTGTTGGGCGAGCATTTGCTCCTCCTCCCCCTCCTCCATTGAGCCGCATCCATGCAAGAGACTATCTCACGCACCTGGTTCCCTTGGCTTCCTCTTGCTCCATCCCTTCCTGATGCTCCGCCTCCCGATCACCTTTTGAACAGCACATTGTACCTCCAGATACTATGCTTTGAGAAAGGATCAAAAACTTCTCCTGACTTCTCTCTGCACTCTTCATATTCATGAATGACCTTCTACTTTGTTTTGCAAAGATCATGTCGAACTGGGCCGCTGGAATGATTTTCTCGGATTATGCTCCTGCTCCATCGAAAGCTACATCGGAGGCAAGATCACTGACACGTCTTAAAGTGATGTAATCTTTAAAGAAGATGGCTAATGGAGCAAGTAGCGACAGCTCAAGACAGAAACAAGTTGCCGGACTTCAGGCAATTCCTTGCATGCAGGTTTGCGTTGGCTAACGATGAGAAGGCGGAAGCGTCAGGATGGTACGAGGATATCACAAACCCTGTTGTGTCTCAGTATAAGAACGAAGTGAGAACTGAGAATGATCCGTCTCCCCTTAATCTTGCTCTCTTCACAGGCTATCTCCCTGAATGTTGGAAACGGACTCGCACAAGCAAGTGCTGCCCACCCTGCGTCACGTCTGGTGTCTGAGAAACAGGTTGTCACCTGGAACATAGGCTATTTTCGTCTGTCTCACAGTGATCTTGCGGAACCAGATCATGTCTCAGGAATCGGCAAATCGCGGGCGGGAGAAGCTTTCTGTGCCCGCGGTGACGGTGAGCGTCTCCCAAGCTGCTGGGGTCGTGGGATCACTTCATGTCAGGATCAACTCGAATTGTTGAGGACCTCCAATGAGGATCTGACTCCATCTCAACTTATGGAGGCAGCTAACGCATGGGCTAAACGTAGCTGAATCTAGATTCCCATCTTCCCTTGCTTGATTTTGCTTCCAGGGAACAATTTCTCTCCTGAACAACTGCAAGAGTTTGGCCATCTGATTACCATGGTCGCAGCAACGTACATTCCTCGGTCACAAATCAAGAAATTTCGACAATTAGACCAGGTGAAGACAGCCCATGCTCTGTCACTCTTGTTGAAAGGCTGCAGGGTTCTTTTGGATTGATCTACAGCGCGGAGTATGACGGCTCCACAGTAGCTGTCAAGCAATGCTCCTCGGTAGACTGCTTGGCTATGTACTTGACTATTTGATGAACGAGACCAGGACGGATCTCAAATCAAAGCAAAGATGCGTGAGTTGCTGTTGGAGTTGAGTGTGCTCGTGAGAATCCGGCACCCAAACATCGTGACCTTCTGGGGAACCGCTGCCGAATTCCCGTTGACCTCGTAAGTTGCGATGCGTCACTGATTGAGGGTACTGCTCTGACCCTTGTCAGGGGATCCAAGCCCTACATGGGGATGGTGTTTGAGCTGTGCGTTCAGGAGGATGTCTATCTCTATGTGAGACTTTCTACAGATGTCACAAGGGAAGTTTGTACAAGGCATTGCATCAACACGGTGGGAAAAAACTCCCGTTCAAAGAGAAGATGAGTAATATGTTCCCTGATCCCTCTCGCAATCTCTGACGATATTTGTGTTGAAAGGATTTGCTTTGGAAGTCTCTCGTGGAATGAGCTACGTGCACGCAAAGGGAATCATTCATAGGGACCTCAACAGCAGAAATGTCTTGATAACAGATCAAATGCATGCAAAAGTCGCAGATTTCGGATGCGCGGTGTGTTCGTTGCCTCTGCTTGCTTGATGTGACTTGCTGTGTAGCGGAAGCTGAAAGGATCAGCTCTGCACACGACAACGATTTCAGGCAGCCCTGCTTACATGGTCATGACTTGGATGCGAGTGGAGGTGGCATGACAAAAGTGACAGGCACCGGAGCAGCTAGAGGGACACGACTTGACCGACAGGATAGACGTGTGGGCCTTCGGAGTTCTGATGTGGGAGATAGTAACAGACCAAGTTCCGTGGGCGTCCAAGGGGAACAGTCTGGATGCGCTGAAACGCTGCATATGTGTACAGGTAGGATGATACACGACCTGCAGCCCCATGACAAGTCCGAGCAGGGGGACAGACTGCCGTTGCCTGCGGCAGATAGATTTCCAAGCGGATGGAGATCGCAGTATGTGAAGATGATGGAGATGACGTGGAATAGCAACCCTCACGCACGGCCTAGCATGGTGACAAGTCTACATGCACGCTCTCCTCCTCACGTTTCTGCTTCAGGCCGACATGAGCAAGGGCTTAGAGGCGCTCATAAATCAAGAGCCGATGTCGGTGGGTGAGTTCATGTAGCTCGGGTGTTTGTAGCTGCCATCACTCAAGATGGCAAGACGCTGTCGTCTGCGTGTGAACAGAGTTTGTTCGTAGAAAAGTATTTTTCGGTGGTAAGATAAATTCATTTAACCCTTGCGCTCATTCTTACAAGCTTTCACGTCGCATCTGTGGCGGCTGGCTCGAGGTAATCCGTATTTAGAGATCTATCACCCACCTCAGTCCCACCCTTGAGTTTAGTGCCTGAAGATAGAGTGTATCCTTGCAATCTATGTAACAGTTTTGACGTCAACTAAAAATCTTCTTGGATTCTACACCCTTGCAAGCAACCTTTGACCACTACCATCATTCTGGGTTTTCTCGATGGTCAGCAAGTGGGATCGTGAAGATCTTGCCGCGGGTAGCCTTGTAGTTGTCGGAGTAGAGGTGAGAGTGAAGGATGGAGTCGGTCATGGGCCCGTAAGAGCCTCGCACGCAAGGAGGACAAGTCTTGCCAGCCGCTGCCTGCGGTGAGCCCGGGGCACAAGGGTTTCCAGAATATCCTGACTTACAGACGCATTGCCACGAGGACACACACCCGATGTTTCCTCCGGTTCCCGTGCAGCCGAAGGTCTCCGAGTTAGGAGGGCACGTGCTCGCACAGCTCGCGCTCCCCCACGAGGATTTCCAGGAGTTGGAGGGGCAAATAGTGCAGGGGCCTCCGTCAGGCCCCGTGTATCCAGGTTTACACCGGCAGTCGAGGATGCTCGTCCTCGCCTTGAGCAGCATCGTCCCTGACCCTGCTGGGCACTTGCCGGTCAAGTTTGAAAGACTGCCGGGAGCGATCTTGAAGGAGTCCTCAGCTACCGCCAGGCAGGGACCTCCGTTGGGACCGGCATAACCAGCCTGGCAGACGCACTCGAGGCGGCTGCGAGCTCCGACTGCCCCGAGAGTCTTGGAGTTGAGCGGGCAGGGGCTGCATGCTTCGCCTCCGAGCTGATCCTGGTAAGTGTCGGGGGGACACGAGCGGCAGGGCCCGCCTCTTGGCCCATAGAAGCCAAACTGACAGGAACAGTTGGCGAGGTTGACATCTTGCCAACCTCCTGCCTTGATCGGGCAGACAGTCACATTCAAAGACTTGGTCTGCATGTTGACTATGGAACAGTCGACGCCGCTGAAGGAAGGCTCGCAGTGACATTCCGCATCGATGCATCTTCCTCTCGCACTGCAGTCGTTGACACACGTTGAGTCCTGGAAGGTCCATGAGAGGATCTCGTGGACTTGACTGACGGAGCCTGTGGAGGCGGTGAAACCTACCCAGGCATGTCCTGACGTCAAACTCAGCACCTCGTCAATGTTGAAGGGGAACGAAAGTATCGGGCGGTCGAGGTCGTCCATCCATATCTGCATGTTGCCGGGTCGTCGTTTCAAGACCTGTATGGCCCTCGGACTTGCAAAGTAGCTGGGGTCTTGCACAACCTCAGGACGGATCCAAACCTCGTACCGAATCCTCATGGTGTGAACGTTTCCGTCGGCAAGGTTGGGCAAGGCTGAGGTGTGAGCGATGCGAGACCTCAGGCTCGGCTCGTTCTGTTCTGTTCCCATGGTGTGAACCGCCAGGTGATTGAGGTACACATCTCCCAGGTTAGCGTTGTACCACGTGTCTAACTCGAAGGCAATGGAGTTGTCTATCCCCCCATACCCGAGGTTGCTTCCGTTACCTCCGAGAGCAAACGGAGTGCCATTGTCATGTACGACAAAAGCCAGTCCGTCCCCTCCTCGATTGATACATCTTCCTGCGTTCTGAGCCGACACTGAGCAGTTCCGGACTGGATCTGTGATGCGGAAAGAGAACTGAGTTTCAAACCCCAGGCTAACTCGCTGAGGCACGTTGAACCACACGGCCCCTACGGAGTTGAAAGCATTCCTGCACAACCGGAGCGAGCTGACACAGCCCGTCCGACCTTCCCAGCAGACCAGGGGACCCTGAAGGCTTTGGAAATAGGAGGAGCCCACAAGGTTGAATCCGAATGTGGTGTTGAAGAAGGGAAAGTCAAAGCCCTTGCCTACCGTTATCCTGAAGGGACTCCCAGGAAGGTCGTCATCAAGCATGCTCACTGACATGAGATAAGTCCCACTGACTGTGATGTTGTAAGCCACGAAGTAAGTTCCGTCCAGTCGATCGAAGACCATCGTTGAGTTCTCCCCAGATCCAAAGTTGGTGCTTTGGATGAACACCTCTACTTTTTCTCGCCCACTGGAACGCTGATTTCCAAACTTATCTCTGGCAATCACAGTGAATGTAGATGGATATCCAATGACTGCAGAATGCAGGCCTGAGCCCACAACCGTACTCTTGAAAACCTCGGTGAGTCCTCCGGCTATGGAAAGGGAGAATGGACTGCCTTTGATATGCTGAGTTGTTCCATTTGCATAGATGAACACCAAGGAAAACTGGTACGTTCCTGCTCGTGTGATGTTGTATGACCCAGAGTACATGTTGTTTGCGTCTACATACAGCTTGAAATTCTGATATGTTGACGGCTGTGCACCTGGAATGATGACCGTGTAAAATGGTACCAGATTTGGGAAGAGGTTTCGATAGTTGCCCCACGTATACATAGCTCCATCAGGACCCTTCCAAATCGCCTCGTTGATTCTTCCCCACTCATCATACTGCCCGCAAGGTCCTAGTCGCGAGGTTTTGCACGAGGCTTGTTTGTTGTATTCAGCAGGATCGGAAAAAGGACTTACGGGAACACAGTCGTGCAACAAGCCTCCGCGAGCGTTATACGCCACCTGGTTAGAGAAAGCTGGATACTGGAGCGCCTCTACTGGTCCATTCACAACAGACCCGGATGCTGGCTGGCTGTTCGCCCAGCTCGTCCAGATGGTCTGGCATTGAGTGCCTGCTGTGCAGCCGTCGCTTGGAAAGATCTGCTTCCACTTTGTCAGCACGCCGCTTCCTCCGTTGTTGACGTTGGGGTTCCAAGCGTGACAGTAGGGGCCCTCATCGCCCTGCAAGACTCGTCGGTTGCCCCATCGGTCTCTCGTCTCCACGGAGAAGGTGCACACTAGACCAGCTCCACAAGAAACGAGCCCGTTGCCGAAGGCTGTGCTAGCTCCGATGTCAACTACATCTGGGCGCACAACAATCATGTAGGGACTCTTGTCCAAGTCGACATAGAATCCTGCTGCGGTCAACAAGCGAACATTGAAGGGATAGGTACCAGACGTCGTCAGCTTGTAGTCGACAGTGTAATGAGCGTCGCCATAGTCGTGGAAGGAGTAAGATTGAAAGTTGACCTGCCAAAGCTGCTCCAACTCTTCGAGCTTGAGAGTGTCGAAGTATCTTATTCTCATAGGGTCAAACTGAATGAAAAACGATGATTCAAGTGCAGACTTCCAGAGGTAGTTGAAGTACGAATCTCTTAAGAAAATATCAAAATAGACAAACTTGCCAGAAACGATTGCGCCTTTGTAATCTGAGGATAATGTGTAAACATTCTTGTCTTCCGAAACGCCTGTCCCATTCACAATTGACGTCTTTGCATCAAACAATCCAGGCTCGACCTTGAATGGAATGGGATCACTACTCAGAAGTAAGCCAAGGTAGCTGATTGCAAGGTTGTACAGCCCTGCCCTCGTGATTTTATAGGAGATGAACCATGTTCCATTGTCATAGTTCTTGTACTGTAAGTCACAAACCATGTTGGACACCGTAGAAATCTCAGGCGCTGGAGAAATCGACGTAGAAGACTCACTCCAGCGTCTGTTGCATTGACTGAGTCAAATCTATTGCACAAACAAATAGCATCTTTACCTTCCTTTGGTGGTCAAATACTCGGAGACGAATCCTTCCACGTTTTGTCTATTCCCAGTTGCAGAATCGTAGGCAACAAAGTAAGGATTTCCTATGGAGTTGACAGCTTGTGTGTAATACAGTTGACTTACGTTGTGGCTTGAAATCCATGATTGGATTTCAGCATCGGACATAATCCCCATCCATGACGGCCTGGCTGGATCAAGGTTCGCAATTTCCAGTCCGTAATATCCGTTCCCGAGGACATCGGGAGGCATGATCATGTTAGCCTCTAGTCCTATCCTCTCCAAGGGCGGACAGAACCTCACTCCATTGGGATTGATGACTCCATCCAAGAATGTCTGCAAGGCATTACTCACCGGGCTACTGACGTGCTGCTGTGCTGCTTTCATGTTGACCTGACACTGATTGGGAGAGGCGCATTGCCTGACGGGACACGCGCTTTCATTTGCAGCCCTTCCATGCCAAGGTGGCGGCGTGTACGAAGAACAGCCTGTTGAGCTTCCATTTGGACAACAACCTGGCGAACATGGAACTTTGTTCTTGAGATAATTGCAAATGAGCTGAGGTGATAGATTTGGTGAAAGGACTGCACCTGGCATGTTCTGTTCAGTTGGCTTGTTGCATGGGCTCATATCCGCTTCAAAGAGAGATGGGCACTTGCAAGAAATATCTGTCAGCACTTGATCTTGCACCAACGGACAATCTGCGACCGAAACCCCAGAGAGATGCACTTGGAAATCTACTTGATTCGATTTGACTTGATTCAATCTTGTGTCCCGCGCGAAAATCAGGAAACTATTAGGCTTCCCTGCGGTCCCGACAGCTTGACCATGAGTTTCTACTGTTGAATTAGGAGCGTAAGCTGGACCAGGGGCGACGTAAGTGATGAAAGGCGAGAATTGAATGTCATTGCACAGAGGGTTGCAGAGTAGAATCGAAATCTTATGAACTCCAGCAATCAGAGGATCCCATTCAACTAGATAGTCGCCCATCCAATTGTCGTCTCCAGAGAATTGGAACTTTGCTGAATTCGGTGAAGTTCCATTCCTTGAGGCCGTCTGGGCGATCAAAGGTTCTTCAAAGGTGATTCGCAGTTGTTCCTTCTGCGTCGCCCAGTTTCCGTAGATGTCCTGAATGCGGACAGAAAAAAACGCTCGATATCCTGCGATAGCTGTTCGCAAACCAGTGCCAAACGCTTGAATTAGATCAGATCTGGTTGGACCTGAATCAACCCACACGCTTGCAGTATGATGTCACAAATCAGTGCAAATTCAATTCACATCTGTACCTGAAGGGACTTCGAGGAAAGTTCGGAGACAAGCCATCAGGATTAGAAGGGGAATATGATACACAAGAAGAGTTTTCTGGAGGGCACCATGCGATTCCAATGCTGGAATCGAAGTAGTCGGTCCTTGCTACCCCAACGTTGCAGTATTTCTGTCCCCCAAAAAGAGCGCTGAGAATCCAAATCAGGCAAACTCGACTAACGACTTGATCCTTACCTGCCGCTCTGCAGACGGATCTCTTGTGAGCCAGGGCACCCAAGGCCAGTATCTTTCATTGCCACGTAGAGCGAATATCTACCGGACAGAGTGACCGCATACTCAGCCACATACGAACCGTTTCCATCATTCATCACGTTTGCAAAGAAATAAGCATCCGTGGAGGTGTGAACCAAAGCAACGATGTATTGATCTCCACCCGCTAGACGAGGATTGTTGTAAGCGTCATAGGAGTCTATGTAGAAATGAGTGGGAATTCCTGCCCTTGTCGTTGATGTGTATGCAAGTCCAGGGCCGTGGGCTATGCTGTGTCCAGGAGAGGTTCGATCTGGAATGATGATAGCTGTTCTTGTATTGTACCCCTTGGGAAATGGAATCGCTGTCATATACGTGTCTACCCCTTCACGCAGTTGCAGGTTAAAGAAGTTGATTTCGTAGAATCCAGGTATAGTTGGTTTGAAGTATAATATACACTTCTCCTGTCCGAGAGGGCAAGGAGGATTACTAGCAGTTGTGCAACGATAGAAATTGGCATCGAACTTCTGTCGTAGTGCGTAAGAATTTTTCTCATCCCAGGTGCGAATGTCATTCCCAGGAGGATAAGGATATCCGTATTGTTGACCAGTGACTGCCGATGGTGGAGTTGTCACCCATGGTCCAACAAGTTTGCTTGCTAAAGATGTATTTCTTGCAACAATCTGGGCTGCTAGGATTGGGCCAGGATATCCTAATTGATCCTGATAAAGCTTATTGAAGGAGTTCTCAAGTCTGTAAGTATCACATGTTTGATCGCATCTGGACCACCATTCTGGGCTTCCTCCATTACTTCCTAGAATGTATCCTCGTTGATATGCTTGGCCCTCGCTCGGAACATCAGTTTTGACCTGAGGAGCTCCCGGTCCGACAATGTATTCAGGCGCTCCGTACTGAAACGATTCATTCAAAGGCATGAAGCCTCGGGGACAATCCGATACAATCTTGACTGTACTCCCAGCTGTGTATTGCAAATACATGGTATCTAACACTTGCGAACAAGGATAGTATCCTTGAGAGATATTGTAGGTACTTGTGTTTGAAGACTGGAAGGAGCTGAAGCACATGTTCTCCTCAACCCCATCATTGGTGGCAGAATCCTTTTTCTGATCAAAAGTTACCCCACAGTTCGTGCAGATACTGTCCAGACATTCCGATTTTGGCACAGGAGGGCGATAAAACCTCTCACAACCAGGTGATAAAAGGGGGTATTGTAGTGTCTGCAAGAATACTTGATCCATAATTCCATAGATTACTTTGAAGCCTAGGTAAGGCATTCCAAGAGGTAAATTGCGGTCATCTGTTTGAAAGTTCACTGCTGTACCTGTGTCTGAAGCTGATACAATAGATTGCGGCATCGCGTAAACAGATTGTGGAAATGTGCCACCTACTCCAAATGCGGCTATCTTGTCATTGAGCGATACATAAGGTGAAGTGTAAAGGGAAATCTCGTCGAAGCCTTGCTCCAAGTTGAAGAAGATGAAGACGAAGACCATTGGTAACCCATACATCTGGTTGCTCTCTGGTATCACCGTCCAGGTGCAGTTTAGGTTATTGCCGTATGTCCTATCTTTACCATATCCATCGGAGAAGGACCCAAAGCTCTTGTGTATGTTCCTCACCCCAGTGCATGGAACGTCAGGATCGGAACAATTGAATCCTGACCACCCATGATCACAATGACAGAAGCCTACCGAAAAATCGCAGATCCCATGACCATTGCATAGTTGAGAATACTTCAAGTCTGCGTTTTGATTCACAGTCTCGGAAAATTTTGTGTAGTCTGCATAGCCACAGATTCCAAGGTCTGCTCCGTTGACATCATAGCAGAGTGCTTCACCCAAACTCCCATCCAAGAGATTTTGAGGTCGTCCTTGGTAAAACTTGATCAAATCATCTACATTACTGCCATCTGTCGGATAATACGAGCTTCCCCATCTTGATGCTCTGAATTGGGACGTATCGCTATCACTGAATTCTCTCACTAGTTTTTCGATGTCAGATATGGTTAACACTACCTGGAATCATATTCTTAAATGCATTTTGAAATATAACACCGTACCTGGCTTCCAAAGGGGTCATACAGAATCAATCTTGATAGTCCTATTCTCATCTCCTTCCATTCAAGTTTTTGATTCTTAATACTTCCGTCGATACCATCCCAAGAGTTGAAAGTTGTTTGAATACCTTGTTTCCAAATTTGTGCTTGCACCATCCTGAAGATGGTTCTGGATGGCACATCGTATCCAGAACAAATTATTCCTTTGGGCGGGAGTGGGAACCGTGAGTACCCAGCAACATAGGAGGGATTGGGATTGTACTGTTCGAAGGCGGGTAAGGGGTAGCTGTATGGCTGTGCCGTCACGAGTGGAGCGAGTAAAAATACGAGAGAGGTACAGATTAAAGTGCTTAGCTCATCCCTGCTGCACCTTCCCTTCCTCCTCCTCCTCTGCCTGCCCCGCCCCTCACCCTTCATATCGCATCGCCCGCATTGAGTAACGACTGCAACAGACCATCATATCCTTTTGGTAGGAGGGGTAGTGGTGGACATAAATGGGTGGTATTAGAAGCAGAAGGGGTAGTTTTGAGGAGACTGAGGGGGTGAAGCTTTGAGGGTACTGGTGAATAGGGGGGGTGATTGTGTAACCAGGGCAAGGGAGTGGGAACTTGATCTCGGTTGCGAACATGTAGGGGGAACCAAGTAGACTGATAGGCAGCATGAGGCTGCGAGCACAGAGGAGGTCTGAACAAGGCAGACAGCAAGACAAGTTCTCTACTGGTACACCAATCCTTTCCTGCTGCCCTCTCTCAACGTCGCTTGACATTCCCTTCAGGTCTTGTTGACCTTGTTACAGACAGAGTGAAAAACCAGTTGTTCGGTGTTCTCACCATTGTACTATTTCCTGTGATTCTTCTCAATGTTTTAGTTGATGTCTACACTAGCAGGTGCTTAGAACTTTATCTCTCTGCGCGTTGTCTAACTCGTCTATGCTTGTTTTTAGTGTTTTGATTGGCTGGAGCGATCACGTGGTGACAGGCCTGTCTCTCATGCAAGCACCAGATAGCATGATTATGGGGGAATCAAGCAGTCAACCACTTATTTTCCTTGCAACAAACACATATTCTCTGCCCGTTTCTGGTATATATCTTTCTGAAGAGAGAGTGATTGTATTCATGTCATGTTGACTCAGGTAGTGTAATCACTGTCCAGATCCTCAAGTTTTATCCCGAGCCTCAGTATCACTTCTGTGGAAGTCTGAACACAAACAGCTTTGCAGCTGAGAGACTTGCTGGAGTGTGCAATCCTTCATTAGCTGGCAATGTTATCATATCAAATATCTCCGGATATGCAAATTTCGACCAACTCACATTTGTAGGAGGTTTGTATTGAAATGTCACGAATATTAGAATCTGAATCATACTGCAGGTGTGCCTGGAACATTTGTATTGAACGTTTCGTCGTATTACGAACAGAACCAGACCGATTACCTAGGAAATCAAGTGACTGTTTCCATAGTGTCCACGTCTGTCACTGTGCCCATCAAGGTCTTGAAGAACACCAATGTCACATTGTCGTCGTTGCAGAGTGCTCCAGATGTGGTGGAATATGGATATGCGTTCAATGGTTACTACCGTATGTGTTCAGGTGTTGCCGGGCAAAGCACTGATTGCACCTCGACCTTTCAAGATGAATATTTGCCACCTCGAGTGAGGTTGGATTATAAAGGAAATCAATTGCTATCAAACAACACGATGGTCACTCTCTTTCTCGTTACCAACTTCAGCGAAATTGATATGCAGCACGTCAAATTTCCCATGACAAAGAATCCCCATGGTGTCGGATCTGTGGAGAAAATGGCGAGATTGAGTTGGGGTGTTGGTGCTGAATTTGTCATTTCCACGATGATTTCCAGCTCCAACGTTGTAAGTTTTGATGATTTCGTCGTCCAGGGCTCCAACAATCCAAGCCTCTTCTTTGCTTTCTACAGCTGTGGTGTCTTTGAACTTTGGAATTTCAAGATGTGGATCGATGGCGTCTGGGCGGTACGGGAAATGCTCTTGATCCCTCCGTTGGATGCTCGTGGACTTCGGCCAGGGGACGGCGAGAGGTGGGTTGGAGGCATCGCACCTTCGAGTGTGGGATCCGATGGAGTCGCTTCTGGGGATCAGTCGTACCTACCTCAACTTGAGATCTCTGACTTTCCCAAGCAAGTCACGGAAGGTGAAGTCTTCACCGTCACGGTCAACGTCATCGCATACTTGTACCCACGATCGTTGGGCAAGTACAGCCTCGTGAACGGAGTCATTCTTTTTGCTGTGGCTGTGCCAACCATGGCAGTCCCGGCCACCTCAAAAGAATCCTTCCTGTCGAAAATCAAGTACCTTGAAAATGGAGTTAGCAGTCCAAGCAATAAGAATGGAGCTATCTTTCAAAATCTTGCTTTCAGTCTGGATGGACTTGAGGGTACATATCGGATTCGAATATATGCTCAAGGCCAATATTATATTGAGACTGGGGATATTGTTGTGAGCTCGGTTGTAAACACAATCTTGTTCAAACTTCCTTCAACCTTCACTGGTCAGGTTGATGGTTGTTCACCCCCACTCAACTTAAGTTCGAATCAGGAATTCTGTATCTCAGCAGAATCTTACGAGAAGGTGTCGACCTTACCGTATTTGTTGGCCTACCAGTGTAAGAAAATATTTTCTCTCTCGCAAAGCTGTGAAATCACTCCAAGACAATCGATCTCGGTAATTCTAGAAAATCAGTCGGTACCATTCGAATATGCAGACAATGGCACCATTCGTTGGACAAATCTTCATGCATCCAGAATAACCTTGAATGATGTGCAATACAATCTCATTCCTGATAAAGCAAGGTATGAGTTCACTGATATCAGAATAATGAGCTTGTTTCGTAGCCAAATGAACATCATTTTCCGTATAGGTCAAGTTGAAGCCAATCAAAAAATCTCTCTAATTGTGAACACTTCAAGACTTGACACTGCTGTAAAATTCTGCAACTATGATCCAGTAGGATACATCTCTGTTATTTCGTCGTCAGCAGACCCTCTTGCTACCGTATCCTACCCGGGCGGTCTTATGAAGGTCACGATATTCGCCGCTACAACCACAGGACAGCCAGCACGAAATCGTTTCTTCTGTCTTCGATTCTTTGAGCTAGATTGGCATGATCCCTTTGCAGATCATGTCAGAGATCAAGACAACTATCGAATATTTCAGTCAGAAAAGAATTTCAACCCCTTTGCAACCCTTTCAAACCTCACTTTTCACAACTCATCTTGTTTTCCTACAGATCAGACTGGCACTGGGAGTTTAGACTTTTATTTTGATACTCCTGAGCTCAAGTTTCGTTCAGGTTCTTATGCTTGGTACGTGGAGTCAGCTGAAAATGAAAGTGGGCAAATCTATCAAAGGTTTGGAAATATTTTTTATCAGAAGTATCAATGGACAAGCAGAAGCGAAAGTCTCAAGTGCATCTATGAGAAATTCGGTGTTGAGATACCTCTTGCCCGGACCAACTCATACTATGTGTACTTGCGCAATGGATGGAAATCTCCTCCCACAGAGGTGCTTGCAACTTCCAGGTGGCCTCAGCCGAACCCTCCGGACGGGTCCTCATTCTTCCCGCTACGAAGTAGTTATTATGGTGCACTTGAGGCTAGGATAGCGAGTGTCGAAACGCCGTACGAATTCTGGGTCAGAATTTATGATGGAAACGCGATCTCTGACGTGTTGCTGTTTCCGTCAGGAGTGTCTGTGACTATGTATATGGTATCGGCTCCCAAAAGCTTTCCTGCAACGTTCCAAGCTTGTTCCCAGTACATCACGAATAACTGCTACTCTCTCACTGACTTCGATTTTACTTTGACGTCTGTAACGGATTCGTTCGGTTATGCACGTTTTCAAATCTCGTCAAGTATCAAATATCAAGGGATCTTCAGGTTTGTGCTTACCATCGGCTCTATCGGTCAATCAGGCAGCAACTTCTTCTCTCAGGTCTTTGAGATTGTCTTCACCTCCTCCCTCAAGGAAGCCTTTGATTGCACCTCCGCTCAGTCGCTGCTGTCTTCCGCTCAGAGATTAGCTCCTGCTGTCAAGTATTACAACGCATGCCCCTTCCGAAATCCTGATGCATCCTGTAAATGGAATTTTACTGTTTGTGACTTCGGGTATCCGAACATGGTTTGGAGATCAAGCAAAGCTCTGCCTCTATGTCTGCCGCTAGCAAAGAACATCCGACATCCACTCACAGTCTACCTTGTCAACGATCACAACGAGAGCGTGTATGATCAAAATTTGGTTGTACTGGGAGCTGGGACCAGTATGCCTCAAGTGCATCTTGCTCAAATGATTCAAAGCGATTCCAATGGTTTGGCGGTACTGGACAACTTCACTGTTGACTTCGCTTTGAAAGGGCCGATTTCGTTGACGGTGCAGCTCCCTCCGTTTCAATCATCTTATCAAAATATTCCGCTCTCACAACAAGTTCTCACCTCTGGATTGTCAGCTATTGATGATGAAGTTCACGCTGATTTCCTGACGCCCCCACCTTCTGTTGTGATAATCGGGAGAACCATCGGCCCTGCTCTCCAAGTCAGGATCAAGGTCAAGAGCAAGTGTCTCTCATATCCAGGCGAGCTGGGAATCGGGTGGGTCCCTCCCAAGCTTGAGGTACGATTTGTTTCATCCTATGAAGCCAACGGCTCGGTGCTGCTGCTTGTGAACCAGTCGGTTTCAATCGCGTCAAACTCCACCGATCCAGTGGTGGAACCTCTGAGAGGAGCAGCGGTCGCGACATTTGCCAACATGTCAGTTCAATCAGGACTACCTGGTAGATTCAAGTTTCAAGTTGTCATCCATTCTAGCAAACAGGTTCTGTTGACAAGTCAACTGGTGAGTCTGTTGACCACCGCCAACGCTCTCAGAATTCTTGATCACTTCCCGTCAGTCATCAGCCCGCACCTTTCTTTGCAACTCAGAGTTCAGGTGAACTCCTTGTCAGGGACGCCCTTGGCGAACGCTTTCGTTTACGCTGAGGTGATTCCATACAGCAATGAGAACCAGCAATCTCCAGCTTCGAGTCTCAACACCTCCAACGTGTCTGCTCTTCTTGATCTCAACTCTTCTTTATCTGTATCAGATACAGATGGAACATGTCATTTTCTCCTAACATTTCAATCATACACTCCTGGGCGTTTTGTCCTAGCTTTCAGCAGCCAAGGGGTTGAAAAGATATTTTCTTCGCCATTCAGTTTTCAATCACCGATAGCTGAGATGAAGTTCTTGTCAAAACCTGTCATCTCTTCAGTCTTCCCTGAAGTCTGGGTGTGGCCTCAGATCAAATCGAATCGCATTCATGTAGGGTTCAACACTCACGCAAGAGCCGGTCCGATCTTCAATCTCCCGTCTAGCATGAAGGATGTGGTCAAAGGTAAGCGCCTGAGCGGGTTGACCAAACTTCTTACTTGGATACTGCAGGTTCTCTTCCTTCAGATCCGGGGCCTGTGATCCAAGTCCTAGACCGATGGAACAAAGGCATCATCGGTCTTGTTTTCAACGTCACCTTGGTCGACGCAAGCAATAACATTCTTCAAGTGGTGGAATCTGCGGTGGAGAGACAAACCTTGTTCCAGGACCTTGGCCTTCAAACTCCTCAAGCTACATGCAGCTTTAACAACCAACAAGCCGCCTGTGCGGGGCTGTACGCATTTCCAGGGCTGGGTTTGAGCTCAACAGTGACGACAGGCTTCTACCGATTCCGATTCGATAGCGAGGGTATCCAACTCGTACAAGAGGACGAATTGTTCTTCGTGAACAAGGCCATGACGGACACGACCGAAGTTGATGCATACATGTTGGGGACCATGCTAACGGGACTGATGTGCATCATCTTGTTTGAGATGAACAAGATGGATAACTTGATCGTAAACCAAAACACGTTCAAATATGTGCAGAGTCAGAAGTTCAAGAAGCTTTGGATGGTAGTTGCAACAGGCTTAATGATGTTCTTGTTCTACGTCATTGTCACCTTCTACACCATGTTGAGTGAGAATAAGACTCCTCCGCATAAAGCAAACGGCATACTGAATGGTTCGGATTACATCTCAATGTATGGCTCGTTCGTTATCATGGTCGCAGTCTCCGCGTCTTGTGTATATTCCTTGTATTTTATGTTCCAGAACCGCCAAAGCTTTTCTATCAAGAACAATGACCTCTTCGTTCGAAAACTGTGCGCACCTGTTGAAATCGAACAAGCTCGAAGATTTTTCATAGGAAGCGTGAGAAATTTGATCGTCGCCAAGGATCGAGTGTCTTCTTCGCATGGTTTCTTTGCCAAGCTTTACGATCGATACAGATATCGACTGGGAAGGATCAAAAGGCTCGTCAGTGCGCTTTGGGAATGGCTCAAGAAGGTAAGAGGCTTTGCCAAGGCCACGTACAGGAGGGTCAAGTACAGTATCCCCTTGTTCAACAGCTTGTATTTCGGGTGGTTCGACATGACGATCGGGCAGAGGGTGCTGGGGGCGATCTGGCTGAGCGTGTTTGTCGTGCTCTCGTTCCTGGGCTTCGGCCTCTGGTTCTCGCACAAGCTCGACACGTGGCTGAGCGGCTTCTACGGGGAGTACGTCAGCACCCTGGTGGCCCTCGGATACGTCCCCACCGACTGGTTCACCACCAAGTGGCCGGACCAGCAGAACCTGTCGACGCTACGTCAGGTGATGATCATCTACTACGGGCGGTGAGGCTCTCTTGCTCTGCCGCTTTAGCTGACTCCTCACCCTCTCGTCTAGAACGTCAACGCAGGGGCAGCCTTTCTTCCAGCGGCTCTCTGACTCCGCTGCGATCGCTACCTGGCTCGCAACGGTCTTCTCGACGATCGCGGTGCTGGTTGGGGTTCTAGATATCTACAGATGCTCGAGGGCTTACCTGCGAGCTGCACGGCTTAACGCCTTCCCGGCTCCGAAGAAGAAGATTCGAGCGACAGCTGCCAGCTCATACATCGGGTCGCAAGCTGTGCTCGCGCTGTTCGGCTGGTTCTTTTCCTTCTTGTTCTGGTTCACCGTCATCTTCGCTCTCTCCTGGGTGAGTCCATTCCTCGAGGCGCCAGGCGCTGAGCCCAGCGGTCGCAGGCCCCCATCAGCAAGTACCTCACTCCCGCATGGCTGCCCTTCTTCATCCTCAGCTGCGTCTTCCTCCTCCTCTACCTCATCTTTGTGCGTATCCGCATGTTCAGGAATCCAGGTGCTGCCGTGGTAGCTGTCAGGCCGACGCTCACTCACTTGCCTAGGGATAATCATCGAGAGCCGGTCACAGTTCGCTTTCTCCGAGACGATCTTGCTTCTTCTCAACCTCGCCATTGGCTCTGTCTTGTCTGTTCCACGGTTTTTGTTCAGCACCGTGGGGACGATCTACTCCTGGTTTCTGCTGCATCGAGGAGTCGGGCAGAACAGCCTGCTCAAGCTTGGAAGTGAAGAGTTTGAGGTGGGTTGACGACCAAGGGAAGGAGCTACAACCAGGGAGCTGATGTTACTTTCAGGCTGCCGTCTACGTCCATCACGTGCATAACAACGCCTTGCTGCGCTGCATAGTAGAAAGACTCCATGTCGAGGTCAGCCTTGGCGACTTCCCTCCGTCAGCTCCACCTCACACGTTCGCAGCTACGAAATCGCCGGACTATCCTGCAGATTCCTTCCAACAACATCGAGCCGGAGCCTCTCAAGAGGCAGTGGGTGGAGCTACAGGTGTGATCCATCCGGTTTCACATCAAAACCTCAGCTTGCTTCCAACAGGCGAAGAGGAGGAGGCAGCGAGCGCTCGTCAAGCTCCTCGTCATGGTTCAAGCCATTGCACATGCCGATCAGATTGACTTGACACGCTCGCGGAAGCACAAGATGGATGCGATGAGTCATCCGCAGCATTGAGAGCGTACATGTGAGCTTGTAAGATCATGTGAAGGTCAAACACGAGCACCTCTAGGCACGCTAGCCTTCCACTGCCCCCTTCCCTACTCGTCAACTCTCCCCTCCCTCGCTCCCTCCCTCCCTCCCGCCCCCTGGATTGCTCGAAGGTGATGGGTCTTTCCACGCCATTCTCTTCTCTTCGAGGAGCACGCTTCTCCGAGTATACCATCATTCTTGTCTGGCTTATGATGTGCAAGCTGTCAAAGAAGCTAACATTTGACACGTTTAGTACCCAACGCATGAGTCTGCTTAGTGTGAGGGAGGGAAGATGGAGCAGGGGAGGCACTAGCATGAGTGCTCGAATGGTGCAGTCAACGTCTGACGCTCTTCCGATCTTCATGATCGCTTCGGGCAACAACCCCTTCAAGGAAGAACCATAGGCATTCCCTGCATGCTCTTTCAGCTCGCAACTTCAGTAAAGTCACTCACAGTGGATGAGCCCACGATGAGAGGCTTGCCGCCGTCTTGGGTTGGATGGAGGCCATAGCTGGCACGATATCAGAGTTCGAGGGCACGCACGAGTACAAAACCTGTCGTAAGGTCCAAAGCCTGGCTGCCAGTCGGGGACTCCAACATTGAGGTTGCCAATCGCAGGTCCATAGGGTCCAACCTGTTTGAAAATGGTGACATCAAACCGAAGGGGGTGGTGGACGCGAACCTGCTGATTCAGGGATTGTAGCTTCTGAATGTCTGCGAACATCTAGAGCGGGGAACGTCAGGCTGACGAAGGCAAGACAAGGTCTCTACGGGTTCATTTCATCGCAGCCTTCCATGAATTCTTGCTCCTCCTCACTCATCACATTCTTTTCCTGCCTCTATCCTCCTGCCTCCTCCCCCTCGCCATCTCCTCCCCCTTCACCGATCGGTACTCTCTGCCATGCTTCCCCATAATAGAAGTCCGTTTCAACGTTTCATTTTCCGTTGCATCATACCGTTACAAACCATTTAGGCCATGTTGAGGCGGGTTTGTAGGCGGGTTTGTAGGTACTCGGGATGTTTGATTGACTATAAAGTCTGTAACAAACAGCGCATAACCTCCACCATGTCGTTTGCTCGGACAAAGTCCACCATGTCAATGGCACGAACATAATCAAACATGGTCTTGCGAACGACTTCTAACATGTCCCTTGCGCGATCTCCGTCCTCCGCAAACGTCATCTCGTAGAGACGTTCAACCTTTCCGACAGGTTGATACGAACCAAGTCTGCAGCAAGTTTTCGAAACACCATCGAAGCTGTCGTGCGCAAAGACATTGTGATCTCTCTCGAGCCCCAAGATGTTGTGAAAACTCTAGAATCCAAGCTCTCTCGCAGGCAGATCTTTGTTCGTACAAAGGAAAAACCGAATCATTCTGTCTGTGCTCCTCGCGTTCGTCTCAGTCTGCCGTACATATCCATCTATTCTCACTTTTCACCGGAGCAAGATCATGTCTGCAGGTGAGCCGCCATTGATCATCCCGTTTGCAGCATCTTCTGAGTGCAGAGGAATGCTGCTGCTGCTGCTGCTGCTGCTGCTGCTGCTGACGATGACGATGACGATGTCGACGACGATGTCGACGACCATGAGAATAATGATGATTGGAGCAAGAGAAAGGAGGCAAGCCTGCGGGCAGAAGATGACTCAGTGAGGGGACATATTGGGAGGAGGGAGTTTGAAAAGCGGATGAGAGGGGAGTAAGGAGTTGGAAGGGGGCAGAGGCTATCTTCGTACAACATGGTCCACATCAATGCTGTTGTCATCATTGAGAGATTTTTCCGATCATACCGCGTGCGCAAGCGAGGAGGAGAGTTGCTGGTCCTGCCTTCACCATACTCTGAGACTTCAACTCTTCTCCCTCACTGCCGCTCTCTTCTGTTTAGCTTTGCTCTCGTGCTCCCTCCGTCCTTTTCCTTGCTCCTGTTCTCATCCTTGTTTGCCTTCTTTCCATTTGGACTCTCCTTTCACTCCTTTGATGCAATTTAGGTTTCGAAACCATCGCAAGCATTGGGGGTATGTTCGGCCAGATTCAATGGCATTGAAAGAAGACACGCCTCAAGCGGTTGAAAAATGGGCTTGTTGTCCTCTGCCTGCTCTACTTCATCCCACCGCAGTTGCTCGCTGCTGGTTGTTGACTTCAAGAGCCTGGCCTCTCCTCCTGCAAAACCTTCGGGCCGAAGATCCATGTGCCTTCGTCGTCGAGATACCAGACCAACGTGTTGATACTTGCCTCTTCCTCCTCTGTCATTCTCGTTGAGGTGCAAAAGAGTCGGCGAGGGAGGAGAGAGGAGAGGAGCATCGGTGGGTGTTGGTGACAAATCCGGAGTCTCTCATTTCTACATTCAAGTGATTCCTTCACCTTCTTCTCTACAGTAAGGCGTTAACAACAAGCACTGAACAGCGACTTGCAACAAGCCCGCATCAGGCTCTGACAGGAAAGTCACAATTGCAAGGACACAATCGGACTCAGAGACTCACCTAGTAAGCGATCGGTGAAGAAGATCCAGTACGAGGCCCATCTTGACATTCAACGCAGATAGGTCCTGCTTCAAGCCATCGAGCTGCTCATCGACCTGAGTGAATCTCGCGTCGACTTCCTCCTTCAGATCCTGCACAGCACCAAAAACATTCCTGTACGACGTGTAAATAAAAAAAACGGTATGCTTTCAGGCTCCACCATCGATGTCAAATTGAACTCAGACACGAGAGAAAAGAACTTGCTTAAACACCAACTGACCATCTTAAAGTCCTCTCTGTTGCCATTCATCAACAACCCCATCGCTGCAATCTTCGTGTCTTCGCCAATCATGTCATCCTTCAATACATTCTACAGCCGATTGACCTGGATCAGCTTTTCAAAGATTTTGCCTGGCGCCTTTGTGATTTCAAAGCAGACGTATTCCCCCTGCATAATTTCAAAGTTCTCCTACGAGGCGCCCTCCTCATCGGGTTTGTTGACCACGTCCTTGAACATTGTTTCAAGATCAGTGACCCCATCAAAGGTCACGCACATGTTGGCTTGATACTTTGATATAGATCTCCAAAAAGAGTGTTGGAGACCTGTCACCTCTTTGCTGTTGTAGCTACCATGATTCAGTCGACTGATTTTGGCCGCATTCTTTCTTATGAGCCTACGTTTGGTGTCGTCATCCGGTTTGAGATCCTCCCATCGTTTGATATCCTCCCGTCGTGTAAAGTCTTGACTTGCACACCTGAAGATAAAGCTTTCGTAAGGTTTCATCAGCGGGAGGTCGGCAGGAGATTTGAAGCACCTTGCCGCCCTGCATCCTCAGCAACCTTCGGGGCAAGCAGAGCATGTGGTTGCACCTCTGCGGCAAGCTCTGCCTGCGATAGCATGCAGAGAAAGGTACAAGGTAGCCGTGCACCTGATACAGCGAGAGGAGGTGCAGCAGCAGGAAGGAGAGCGCTCAGCTGCATTAATACGCTGAGGGGTACCAGGTGGGGTACCCCACCCCATCACCTTCACCCCTCCTTATGATGCAACAATAGACCCGTGGAGAGGGGTGGAGGGGACCCCTTCCGTATTTCTCGGTGCTTCTCTCATTTAAATCTATTTTACATATAAAACTATTTTTGCAGTAGAGCGGTGTATCAATATGCGACACAGGACAAACGACGTAGGCGGGAGGGAGGGAGGGAGGGAGGGAAGGGGGGGGCGGGTAGAGGACGGGATGTAGACGAGACAGATGGAGGAGAGGCAAATATGAGAGTTGCAACATGAGGATCTCTGAGCTAGCTCAACTGACAAGAGTATCGGGAATTAGCGAATGGATAGATTTAAAGCAGCTCTTGTAGAAGATGCGAAGTAAAGCCTGAGATGAGACGAGATGTGTACGAGAGCTGATATGAGGGATGATGAGTGAGAATTTCTAGTCCAAGTGGTGCCTTGGCATCTCATACATATCAGACTGATCGATTCTCGATGTGACTGCTTCCTGAGGCCATGTTTGCCAGGAGTAACAAACCTCGCCAACGTGTTATCAGCAAATATCTAAAACAATATCTCAGCGGATTTCTCTTCTTACAACGAATGCGTTCATTTTCACTCCACAGCGCCTTGCTATGGCTTGCAATCATGCCGCTAGCGTTGTCGTTAATAAGTCATCCTATTCATCTCATGCAAAGAAACAAGATGAGCGGTACGGATTTGCAGCGATGGTCCTCTTCTTCTCCCGATCTCCTCCTTCGTAAGTCTCATCGTCAGTCCTCGGTGGGCTTGCTCTTCCTCTACTCTAGCTTGCGATGATGTCGATGACAGAAATCAAGTACATCCTCCATGGAATCGGAGGGAAGGCGAAAGCCTGAAATCAGTGAGGATCAGAGCCTGAGGAGCATCTACAGAAAGAATGTTGCTCCTCATCCCACAGGGACCGTCACAAACAAGGCGATGGAGAGATCAGGCCATATGCTGCGCCGTCCTCCTGCCTCTCGTCGCCTCTTCCAGAGGTTCGTCACTTTCGCCATGTCAAGGTTCCCCATGTGCGCGTTTGACCGTCGCTGACGTGCTTGTTCTTACAGGTTCCCCACCTCTGTGGTCCAAGGTGAGCAGGAGGAGGAGGAGGAGGAGGAGGAGGAGGAGGAGGAGGAGAGAGTGTGGTCGTGCGCTGACTGGCGACAGGGATCGGCTTCCAATCTCTGTCCAAGGATCTTTTCGATCGTTTCTTCTCCGGGAGCTTCGGGCCTGAAGACATCTCCAGGGACCTGGTAGACACGCAGGAGGTGACGGAGAGGAAGCAAGAGGGAGTTGAGTGGATCAACGAGTTCGAGGTGGTAAAAGACCTGGGGATGGGGTCGTTCGGTACCGTCAAGCTGGTCAGAGATTCCAAGAGCGGAGATCTCTACGCGATGAAGGTGTTTGACAAGGAGAAGCTTCGGAACAAGTGGATCGGGGCGACCAATATGTTGGAGGATGTTGAGAAAGAGATCAAAATCCTGAAGCTCATGGACCATCCGAATTGCATCAAATTGTACGAAGTCCTAGACAACCCTGAAAATGAGAAACTTTTTCTCCGGCTAGAGTACTGCGAAGGAGGACAGTCAATGCTCTTCGACGCACCTGTATGTCATTTATTCTTGTGCTTGCCTTGCTTGTATGACCTGTGTTTGTATCATCGAGCTTTTGTTTGTACTGGCTTGCGGAGCTTACGTTTTTGATCAGCTCATCTCCAGAATGAACACATGGTTCAGCACAGCTCCTTTCTCGATGGATCAAATCAGCGTAGAGCCGCTCTCAGAGGACACAGCACGCAGATACTTCATTGACCTACTGGATGGTGAGGAGGAGGAGATCCTTAGAAGAAGTGTGTTGGGAAAGGAGGTTTCAGATATGAAGAAAGTTGAGGTTGAGGTCGAAAGATGCGAGAGAGACTGAAATGCTTTCAGGACTCGAGTACATGCATGACAACAACATAATCCATCGTGATATCAAGCCGGAGAACCTTCTTCTCACCAAGGACGGGAAGGTGACAACCTTGCATCCCCTGCCTTCTTGCATTCTCCCTGTCCTCTTTCTGCCTTGCCGCCTTTTCCCCGTTTGGCAGCATCCGTGACCTTGTTGTTGCTCCCTAGGTCAAGCTTGCGGACTTTGGCACCGGCCAAGTTCTTTCTGAAGGAGAAGACACCATCGCCTTCTCCCCTGGTGACCCTCCAGCCCTCTAGCCCTCCCGCTCCTCTTGATCTGAGCTCCTTCCAGGGACCCCGGCCTTCCTTGCACCTGAGGCCTGTAGGAAAGGACAATACAGCGGGCGAGCAGCAGACATTTGGGCGGCAGGGGTACGGCAGGAGGAGGAAGGAGAAGAAGAGGGAAGGAGAAAATGAAGGAGAAGAGAAGGGGGAGGGGCTGAACAGGGAGGGAGAGAGGGAGGGAGAGAAGACGAGGAGACGGCTGAGCAGTTCGTGCAGGTTACACTCTACACGTTCCTTCACGGTCGCTCTCCTTTCATCTGTGCGAATCCGCTGCAAATCTACAAGGTGAGGAGAAGTTGCTCTCCGACTTGTGACGTGCGTCAGATGATCCGCGAAGAGCCCATCGGCTTCTCCTCTCACCTCTCGCCTGATTGCCGTGATCTCCTCAGAAGGCTGCTGGACAAAGTAGGAGGCGGAGGAGAGGAGAGGAGAAGGGAAGGGAAGGGAGAGAGAGAGGGAGTGAGGGGAGCAGTTGAAGCTCAAGGCAGGAGGGAGCTTACGTGTCATTGGCTCACGAGGTGTGCAGGACTTCCGACGGCGAATCAAGATGAAGGAGATCCGAGAACATCCTTGGATCTTGCAAGGGAGTGCGGAGTGAAGACGATGTCACTTGCAGGGATGGCACCAGACTTTCACTCCTCTTCCTCCTCTCCCCTCCCTCCCTCCGTGAACCGTCGGTATAGCTGCTGGTGGATTCCTCGCACCCTTGCCTGCCACCGTCACGCCTCAGCTCAGCAGCCTTGCTCCCCTCCTCGCGGTTGTCACCGTCGTCCAGGACGCCATGTACAGGCGCTGTTGTCGCAGAATCTCCTCCTGCTGGGATCGGTTGTCCAGCAGTAACCTAGTCAACTTTCAGCTCCTTGGCTCTTCTCCTCCCTCCCTCCCTCCCTCCCTCCCTCCCTCATCCTCTCCTTGCTCTGTGCTCTTAAAGATTTTCCTCCTCCTCTTCTGTTCTGCATACCCGATGTGATCCCCCTTGTTGTTTTCTCCTCCTTTGCCCTCCTTCTTCGATGTCCCTCCCATCATTCTTCCAATCCCTCTCATCTCTGATTGCTCCTCCTCTCCCATCTCCTCACTCCTCTCCTCTCCTCTCCTCTCCTCTCCTCTCCTCTCCTCTCCTCCTCTCTCCTCTCCTCTCCTCTCCTCTCCTCTCCTCTCCTCTCCTCTCCTCTCCTCTCCTCACCTCCTCTCTCCTCTCCTCTCCTCTCCTCTCCTCTCCTCTCCTCTCCTCTCAACCTCAATTTCGACGGGATCTCCGTGTAGCTAGCGATGGCAACGACTTCTCTCAGCTCCAGGAACGGATGGGAGTTCTCCGCGAGAATCTAAGAGGCGTCAGGCATGTCCGGACAGGAGGAGGGGGAGGAACCGGCACTTGTGCGAGGAGGGCGAGATGCAGCGAACCAGAGACGGAGAATGAATCGCTGCTGGGGCGGCGGAGGAATAGGAGAGCAGCGAACTACAAGGATGAGAGGAGGAGGAGGAGGAGGAAGTAAATCCTTACCTCGGACAGCCTTGACAGCAGCGATGAACGATCAAGGAGCTCCCTGCCCCAAGATTGTTTCCTCCTCCCTCCTCCCTCCTCCCTCCTCCCTCCTCCCTCCTCGCTCTCCTCGCCATCCTCTACCTCGAACGCTCATTCCATAACGCTCCTTACCTGTGATACTCGACCAGCCCGTGGCAGCTCGACTGGAAGGAATCGGTCAGGGTGTGAAGGGACCAGAAGCAAGGCAGATGAAATCCGTATGAAGGGGCCGGGAGACAGAAATATGAACGAGAGAGAGGGAGAGAGAAAGCCGATGATGATGATGATGATAATGACGTGATGATGATGATGATGATGATGATGTGATGATGATGATGATGATGATAATGACGTGATGATGATGATGATGATGATGATGATAATGACGTGATGATGATGATGATGATGATGATGATGATGATGATGATGATGTGATGATGATGATGATAATGACGTGATGATGATGATGATGATGATGATGTGATAATGATGATACGGAGGAGGAAGAGGAGGAAACAACCAGTCCAAACTCATCTGGGACAGCAGAGAAGACATGGATGAAAACTTGAGCTTTCTTGGCGATCTGAGACCAGAGGAGTGAAAACTTCGAGTCAAGAGGAGGGCAAGTGCTGACGTGGCAGAGCTGATGGAACCTCTTCTTCTTGTCGAAGAAGCCGAAGGTCGCAACGTGATTCTGAAGGTTCAAGTCGCTCAGGCGCTCATGGAAGTCGCTCGGACTACCAGCAGCGTCAGCTCCGTCCTCTCGTAGTCGATCTCGTCCGGCACGTGATGCGGGACGTGGCCAAGGGCGACGGGGAAGAACTTGGGGGCTAAGGAACTGAGAGTGAGGAGGGAGGCGACCTGAGGAGAAGTCAGGAGAGGTCAGGCCGTTTGCTTCCCTCCACCTTCGTCAAGCTCGAGTAGAATGACGTTCTCTCACGAAACATCGCATGGAGGGTGATGACGACTCTGATATGGGGGAACGACCGCTGGTTGTCAACGACGAGGTGAGATGTTAGTATACAAGATAGGATGGAACTGCGAAGACTACCTTGACCTCTGTGATGACGGTCAGGAACTCGTTGTCTACCGGGAAGATCCCATGCTCGTGCTAGAGAGAATGAGAAGAGAAGGCGCAAAGAGAGATCACCTGGACATGCACGAGTGCAATAGAGAAGAGCCTGCAGAAGACAAAGACTTCTTGCCACGAGCTGGCGAACGCTACACCTGCCGCAGAGGGGGAAAGGAGTTAGAGGAGAAAGGAGTTAGAGGAGAAAGGAGTTAGAGGAGGGAAAGGGAAAAAGGTATGTTGACCGAGGAAGTCAGCACTGAAATGTTTGACTTTTTACCTGGCAGGTCGCTGAAGAGGTCGAGTGTGTAGGTCGAAACTCCACAATGAGAGCGGAGAGACTGAGAGGAGTTATGCGAACGACAAGATCGCAGGTTGTACCGATGCAAACACAAGGGTGCTCTTGTTCAACTCATCCTCGAACTTCTTCGTCGCCTCTCCCCATGACAATGGTGTTTTCTTCTCAGGTTGTCAGGAGCTGAAAGCAGACAGAGAAATCAACCCTGAGGGTTGACGGGCAGTAGTCTCTCCGGCTCTCCTTGTGTTGCTCGTACACGGATCGCATGACCTCAAGTTGCTGTCACTTTCCCTCCCCTCTCAGTCTCTTCCCTCGACCTCTCTCGCATGCTGCTTGTCTATGCTCAAGAACTCTCCCGTGCTCTCTTGGGTGAAGGCGTACCGAGCTCCCTCCCTTCCGGACAGCCGAACCTTGTACGCCTACCATGCAGGTGGGGAGAGGAGAGAGGAGGAGGGATGCTGGATCAGGTAGAAGGGAGCGAAGGAGATGATCGTCCAAGATGAGAGCTTTGCCTTCAAGTCTCGCCAGCACGGGAGGTCAGTGATGACTGTTGGGACCCCTGACGTGCGATCAAATCCGTTGACTGTCCTCCTCCTTACCGGACGCCTGCGCTTCCCTCGGTATCTGTCCCCAGCCCTCTCCCTGCTCCCTCGATCAGATTCTCCTCTCGAGAATATCCTTCTTCTGCTGCTCCTGTGAGATGCTGTTCTCCTCCTCTCCTTCTCTCCTCCTCTTCTCGTCAGTATCCTCCTGCTCCTACACCTACTCTCTCTCCTTCTCTAACTTCTCTTCTCCTCCTGCTCCTCTTGTTGTCCCGACCTTTGAAAGAGCGACAATGCAGTCTGTCTGCAGCCACAGGCGTTCGTACTCCTCCTCCTCCAGCAGCCCGAGCGAAAGATCGACCTTGTCACGCTGCTGCTTCCTCAGCACTGGCAGCAGCAGCCGCTGCTCGTTGTACCTCCATCTTCTCTATCCTCTCCATCCTCTCCTCCAGCCCGCGCAGGACATCCTCGTCGTGCCACTTGGCATGGACGCGGAGCAGCACGTCGGAGGAGTCGGAGAAAGTGTCGAGGAACACGTCAACTGTCTCGAGCACTCCTTTCCTCTCTTGCAAGTTCGCTATCAGTGTGAACGTGAACTTCTCGCCTCTCCTGTCCACCTGCTCCTCATCTCAGCAGTGTTCCTGTCCTGGTCTGCGACTTGCCTCCCCCCACTCGCTGCTGGCTCTCCTGACGTTCGTTCCGAGGGGGAAGAGCTTGATAGGAAGGTGAACACCTGAAGTCATGGTGGTGAGCAGGCAAGGGCAGAGATTCTTCGAGTCTTCAGAGGAGGAGGAGGGAGGCGTGAAAGATTTTCGAAGGCAGGAGGAGAACAAGGATGGCATGCTGGAGGTTCAGAGGGAGGGAAGCGGCAAGGAGAATGAAGACCGGGGGCAAAGCTTTCACAGCACAGATAGCGAAGAATTCACCAGAGGCCCAGAAATTTTCTCTCTGCCAGGAGTCTGCCGTCCAGACCTCACTCGCTCGGTTGTTGAGGATCTCAACCCTGAAACTCGACTTGCTCATTCTCGTCTTCCTTGGCGAGGGCAGAACAACTTGAGTATCACTCACCATGATGAGGGAAGCCGATCAGATTCAAAGAGCGTCAGGTAGATCCTGTACTCGAAGGACGTCCTCTGACTCCACGAATGAGAGTGCGCGCGAAAAAGATAACCATGATACAACCATGATGAATGTGACTATGGTGAAGTTGAGAAACGAGTTGTGGATGATGCGGGGAATTATGACAACGACGATGACGACGACTACCACGAGGGAGAGGACGACAGAGATGATGATGGAGTTGATGATGGAGTTGATGATGGAGATGGAGATGGAGATGGAGATGGAGATGATGATGATGATGATGATGATGATAACGAAGATGATGATGATGGAGATGGAGATGATGATGATGATGATGATGCTGATGCTGTTGTAGTCTTCAACCTCGACAGGGTATCGATAAGGCTCCACGACGACGAGAGTTATCGAAGGAAAACTGTCGATCTGACTGCCATGGTGAGTCGGGAAGGAGGAGAGAGGAGGAAAGACCTTGATAAGACTTGACTGATTGCTCGCAATCTCATCTATGAGAATACTCCTCTCCTCCTCCAGCTTCTCGCGAATGTTGTCAAGGTGCGACCCAAGACCGTCTCCCTCCCTCCTGTACCCTGCCAGGACAATCGGCAGCTTGCCTGCTTGTCAGCCAGGGGGAGACGGTCAGACGGAGCACCTGCTGGCTGCGGAAGGCGAGAGAAAGAGCTTGCAGCTTGGTTCTGATGTCTCGGACAAGCTCCTGACATGCCGGAAGAAGAAGGAAGAGAAGAAGGAAAGAATAGCGCAGGATCGAGGTCAGGCGAGGGGAGAGGGGAGGCAGGACGTGAGAAGGAAGGTACGAGAATTATGACAATGCTCACTTCAGCTTTTTCCTTAGCGAATTCCAGGAGCATCAGATTGTGTGTGGCATGCTGAAGGTTTTGATCAGCAGGTGACAGAAGAAGAGGAGTGAAGGAGAGGAGAAGAGGAGAGGAGAATAGATTCAGAGCATTTCACCTTATAGGAGGGCGCGAGAGCTTTTGCTCTCTCGAAGCTTTCTTCCGCTCTATCGAGCTCACCCATCCTAGCAAGCAGAACTCCAACGTTGTTCCGAACGAAAGAAAGGTCCTCGAGCTTAGAAGCCTGACGCAAATTGTTTACAACTATCTCCTCCTCCCTCCCTTCTCGCTTCCTCCTTCTCCCTCCTTGTCCCTGCTCCGTGCTCCCAGCTCCCAGCACCCAGCACCCTACTCCCTGCTCCCTGCTTCCTCCCCCTTCATCTCGTATTGCTCTGCAACCTCTCTCTTCTCACATTCGAAAAGGCTTCCAATGCCTGCATGAAGTCTCTCTTCCTCGACCAGGCGATTCCCAGCTGATTGTACGCGACAGCCAGGGAGGGAGAGAGCTGAAGGAGTCGGGTGAAGCAGACGACCTGTAGAGGAGGAAGTGAGTCCCTTCTCAGCTCCTTCTGTACTCTGTCTGCTACCGCCTCATCTAGCTCGTGCCTGGCAAGCAACTCGTCTCCCCTCTTAAACAGCTGCAGGTCACTCAAACCCTGTGCCGAGGCGTCGGATGCCAAAAATAATTCTGAGGAGGAAGAACCAGCACAGGTTCCTCCCTCGCGCCTTGTTCCCTCTATACCACCATCATCTCCTCTCTCGCACTCAACACAGCATCGACCATGAATAGCTCCATGCTCCTCCTCCTCCTCCTCCTCCCCTCTTAGTGATCTCAAGTAGAACGACTTGGCAGCTGTCTGTCGCATGCGAGCCTGCAGCTGCATCTTCCCCTGCTCGACCAGCACTCGAGTGACGGCATAGGAAGGGTTCAGCCTCTCCGCTAGCTCATGGCACTGCAGCGCCTCCCAGTCCCTCTCGAGCTCCCACAGCACGAGGCCGATCTGATTGTGAATGTTGAGCCTCGGCTCTAGTCTCAGCGCCCTGGTGAGAGACTGCAGGGACTCTTCATGCCTCTGCAAGTAGAAGAGCGTCTGCCCCAGCTGGAACTGAGCAAGGCCGCTGCTTGGGTTGATCAAGACGGCAGCCTGGAGGACGCGCTCAGCCTCTGGGAAGAGCTCGAGGGCGAGGAGCTTATCAGCGACGCGCAGCATGAGAGTCTCATCGCTGAGAGTCCTCGCGAGTTCGATCAGACTCTCTGCCATTCCCATCGCCTCGAAGACGTTGGGCTCGCTGCTCAACAAGGACTCCCACTCCTCCATCAACGAGCCTGCGATCTTCTGCGTTCCCTGAGGAGACAGTCGGACGGCCCTGCTGATCAGTGCCGATGCATACTCAGTGTCGTACTCCTTGAACCCGATGAGAGCCTTGGCATAGCATTCTTTCACGAGCTCGCTCGGATCGTCAGGATCCTGCTCCAGTCTCGTAGAATCCGACGAGGAGGTTACCGATGACGGGAATACGATGACGGCTGTTTGAAGCATCACTGCGAGTAGGATGAAGAAGTTGAATGCTGAATTCATCATGTGTGTATTCTTGTTCTTTGCGATCCCACCAGCACGGATCATCCAGCGAGCCTCTCCCTCTGCAAGCCCTTATGTTGTCGAACTACATTTGTCGCCACTTCCCTACATTATCACATCACCATCATCATCATCACATCATCACATCATCACATCATCACATCATCACATCATCACATCATCACATCATCACCACCACCACCACATCATCATCATCACATCGTTGTCTTCGCATCTTCATTTTCTCTTTTCACTCTTGTCAATGTTATTGACATGTCGAAATCGGACGCATCAGATCCTTTCACCTAAAAAAATCGTTCACCACCCCACCTCCCTCTATTTAAGTCTACCCACCCCACCACCCCCATTTCCCCATCGACTCACCCCACGTTTCCTCACTGCTCCACACCCCTCAACAACCCCTTCCACCCCTTGCACCTCCCCCATTCCTTCACTCAGTCCATGCCGTGAAAGATGCGCCTCGTCCTCGTCTTCGCAGCGCTCACAAGCTCCTCCTCCTTCCTCCTCTCTCCTCTCCCCCCTCCTCATCTCTCTCGACCTTCACTCTCCTCCCTTGCTAGATCTGCTAAGAGCAAACCGGCCGCTTCTCCTGTCTTCGTGGAGGTAGTTGGTCGTGCTGCCGGAGCTTGTAGTCTCTGACCAGTCCAGCAGATCGAAGACATCGGCCATAGCGCATGGAGGCTCGACTCCATCGCTGAGACCCTCAGAGAGGTCGGGAACATGCAGGAATGAACTTGATTGATCCTCCTCCAGGGGGGTCTTGGCATAATCCCGACAGACACTAGCTATGCGTTTGTGACCTCCATTGAATCGAGGGACGGAGTCTCCAGGTTGCGAGGCCTCAGTCGATCTGAGCTCAGTCCTTGACGTGCAGGCTGTATGAGCTGAAGCAGCAGGACTCTATCAAGAAGAAGCCCTTTTCCATCTTGTGCGACTCGATCTCGCAAGTGAGACTTGTCATGGTTGTCTATCTGGTGAAGGAGCTCGCAGATCTCCAAGTACACGACCGCGATCAACTTCAAGAGCGTCTTCAAGATGGTTGTCATGAGACAGCTTTGACCCAGCTGACCCTGGACCTCAGCTGAAAGAAGTTCTCCCCGGCCCTTACACCTTCATCTGTCCCTCGACCAACGATCTGCCCCGGATGATCATTGATCACAAGAAGCATGCAAAGATATGGAAGAGGAAGGAGATCGGCGTGAGATGTGCTGCCTGACTTGATCCTCTCCTCACGTCTCACTTGTCAGGTCCGAATCCCGAAAGACGAAGTCTGCCTGCAGCTGATCGGGAAAGTGAGGCGGCCAGGCCATCGGACCAGCTGGTTCCTCTGACTCTTCTCTAAGGTTGGGACTCCCCTGCTGTGTGCGGGAGTCCACAAGACGGACGAAGAGAGCTACTCGATCGGGCACGTCTTCGCAGAGAACGAGAACCTGGTCGGAGCTGCGGGGTTGTTGTGCTGCAGTGACGCCTTGCAGATCGACTTCATGGTGGCGGCGGGAGAGCGGAATGCAGAGTCGTCGACGATCGTGGATCTGACCAAGGAGCCAGCAGTGATTCTCCGGGAGGTGAGGAGAGAGCCTCGGGATCGGGGACGAGACTCACTGGAGCTCAGGGGGCAGGAAATGTCGAGGTGCTGAGAGACTTCATCGAATTGTCGGAGGAGTGAAGGAAGCGAGGAAGAGAAGAACTTGTTGTTGTGCATTTAAGTCAAAAGTGATCAAGATTCAAACAAGCATGTTTGGATTAGACGATGACGAAAATTGAAACTGGAGGATCGAAGTCATCAGTCGTGCCCCATCATGTTCCATCGTCTTTCTTCCGTTCATGTCAGTCAGTCGCATGCAAGGAGAGCATCGTCATACTTCAACTAGCTGTTGTTAAGCGGCAGTGAATTCACCCATCTTGGTGCTGCACAATCGAGTCACCTCACAACCACTCGGCTATAGGTGAGGGCGGGAAGTAGGGAGAGTCTGGGAGGACGGAGAGGAGGGAGGACAGCACCTTCCGTTCATCCCAGCCGACCGCAGAGCATCCTTGCTCCCCAGGCCTCTCCTTGCATCGACGATGGGTGGCCTCGACGAGCTGTAAGGTTCTGGAGGAGGGTTGAACCTGCTGGATGTCAGCCTGGGAGATTTCGGAGCAAGGATGTCGACCTCTTTCGCTGTACGTCGATGATGAGGGAGCGCAGAACCGCGTCCGTCCCGCTTCCCGCTGAGTTGGAGGAGATAGGAAGTGACCTCTGTTTAAGCAGCAACTTCAACCACCCTGCGATAGAACCTTCCTCCGCCCCAATTCCCACCTGCACTCCGAGCCGCACGGTGGAGCTCTCAGGGCCGAGGAGCAAGGGCGCGAGCTGAGCTACAGGCCACCTGACGGAAGGGGATGAGGCACAAGGACACGCCGAGAGAACATCCTCGTCATTACCTGTAAACATTCTTCCCATCTACAGTTTGTAGAACATCTCCCACCTACAAGGACGATGTCAGTCGTTCAAGCAGCCGCAAGGTACGTTAGCAACTCACTTGAAGGCCCCCGCTCGAGGATGACTCCCATGCTGGCCCTCCAGGGACGAGGCTATCAACAACAAGTGCTCCTGCATGAAGTCTCACCATCGTGGAGCTTACCGTACCGTCACATACCATGAGTATCCATTCGAAATACTACCCCGATCCCACATTGTGAACCGTCATGGACAGACTGGAGGTTCTGTATGAGGGTAAGGGTAAGGCTATGGTTATGCGAGGAAGCAGCAGGATGCTACCGGAGTCTCAGTACGGCGAACAGTTTGCGGCTTTCCTCTGCAGCCACAGCATTCGAAATCGTTCATTGCTCCCCCTCCCCTCCGTTAGGTTTACTGGTCTTGGTAAGATCTGTTCAATGTGCGATACAGCCGATACGGTCAGCCGACAACCTACAGCTGTCAGAAGCGACGTGTCAGTGACTTGGATCGTCTGCAGTCGAATCGACATCCTCTCGCTCTCCTCTTCGGTACTCCTTGTGCTGCTTCCTTCACCTTCCCCTCCATGCCTGCTGCCTGTCTACCTTCAAACACGAGCTCCTCATCCTAGTAGGTATCGGCATCTAGGACGAGCATCCTCCTTCTGAATCTCTTCTCCCCTCCTCCTCCTCGCCCTCCTCGCCCTCCTCCATCTCTCCGCCATTTCCCCGCCCACAGAACGGCCATTGCCGCTCCCTCGCTGACTACCCCACCCGGTTTCGGAGTTCCATAATTAAAACTCTACAGGTGGGGTAGTGGAACGGGGAGGAAAAATGCGGGGCATGTGGGCGGTGGGAGCGGTGGGGATGGCGAACTTGCTGCTGTCGCTATGGCTGTCGCCGAGGATGAGCTCGGAGCCTGAGGAGAGATGGAGGAACCTGCGGGTCCCTCGAGGCTCCGTCAAGGTCTACGTGCAGTCCTCCTCCGCTCCCTCGGGCACTATCGAGTTCCGCCAGCTCCACATCAGGAGGAACGACAGGAGAAACATCCTGGTGGAGGTTGAGATCAGCATCATGAACGGCATGGTGGAAGGGGCACCAAGGACGGATGGCAGATCGCAGAGCGATCTCTTGCAGCAGTTCCAGCTCCTGTCGAAGGGAGCAGACGAAGACGGGAAGGAGGTGTTGGTCTACCGCTCGTTGTCCAACCTGACGAGAGCGACAAAAGCTCGCGATCAGGTGCTGCACGTCATGAACATGAGCGATCCATACCGCTACAAGATAGACTACGAGGTCTTCTACCTGGATGCCGAGAGCGCCTTCAACAACAAGAGGATCATGGCAAGCGGCGTCATCACCAGCGGCGACTACGAGTATCGCAGGATGTTCGCTTCCCCTTCGACTGTCCACTCGGCGGCACATGGCCTGACGTTCGAGCTGGAGGCGAAGTCGAGCCCCGTCATGGTGTCGCTGCTCAGAACGAGAGGACTCGCCTCCTTCCAGCGCGGTCCTCTAACTCCCCCACTGCATATCCGAGTCTACCTGTCCACGGAGGACAAGGATGTAGCAGCGAGGAAGTGGCGGCTGATAGGAGAGATGTTTGACACCCCTCTCTCCTCCTCTTGGGACCTCTCCGATCTCCCCATCGAGCCTTTCTACATCGCCTCTGGTCAGCGCGTCTCCCTCAGTATTCATACCGACCACCCTCTCGGACTCTCCGTCGCCGTCCCCTCCTTCGAGGGGATGGCGTCAGAGATCGAGGCTCGGACCCACGGCTCCCTCCTCGTCCCGCAGTGGCTGTCGATGATGACGGAGAGCAGGCCAGCTGGCGTGCATGAGGACGAGTGGGTACGCGTGCTGCCTGGGGCAGTGCTCGACTTCGAGCCTCTGCTGGAAGCGAGGCCCCAGCAGCTCCGCTGCTTCATCGGGATGATCCAGTACAGCATCCTCGGGGAGGAGGGTGACTACCGACAGGTGCTCCTGTCATGTGAGGATGAAACTTCTCACTTCTGGACAGGGAGGGATGGCAAAGTTGTTCCGCGAGCACGTCGTCTGGTTCAACAGCCACACGCAGGTTTGCTCAACAGGACGTTTGCCTCCTTGTCCAGCTCTCCCCAGCTTCCTCAATTCGTCCATCTGTTCTGCTTCCCTCTCGCTCTCTGTTGCTTCCACTTGCTCCCTCTCGCTGCTTCGTCCTCATGCTTCTCCTGAAGCTGTCATCAGGTGCTGGCAGCACCCGAGACGAAGAGAAGGCACGCAAGGGAGGAGGAGAGGAAAAGGTGACCCTTATTGTCTCTTGTTGACGGGCATGACTGACCGCTGTCGTAGAGAGTCCAAGAGCGCTCAGGCGTTCTGCTTCCAGTGAGAGCTGCGACAAGATCGCGTGTAATATACATTGGGGGGGGGAGGGGGGGGATGGGTGAAGGAGGGAGGCGAGGTGAGGGAGAGGGAGCAGGTGTAAAGAGAATTCTTTTCAGTCTGGACTGCTCTCTTCCACCGGTATGTCGTCATACTGCAGTACACAGTCATTCCATGGAGGGACTTGTAAGGGGAGGAGGAGGAAGCAAAAAGATGAGGAGGGGGAAGATGGCGATAAGGGAGTGAGACCGTGATGTCGTAGACTGGTTCTTCTCCCCTTGTCGCCAGGAATGATTCCATTTGTTGTAACATCTTGTCGACGATCTGAAAACCAGAATTGAGAAGCATATCACAACAGACGCCTCCCTCCCTCCCTCTCCTTCCTCCCTCCCTCCTCGTTTCCTTTTTTGCTTTCCCTCCCACATCTTCCTTGAGCCAAAATACCGTCTTTGCCAGCACTATGAGCTTGATCCACTGGTGGAATTAGTCAAGTCAGACGCAACGGCAAGGAGAGCGGGGGACCACATGGACAGCAAGAGCAGCGGAATGGTGGCAGCAGGGAGGGGCGGAGGGAAGGCCCGGGAAGGTGACAGCGACTTACTCTTGGCTGGGTCTTAGGGTTGTTGAGAACCTCTTCGTAGAGATCTCGCCTGTCGTTGAGGTACTCTTGGAAAGCTTCATGTCTGCGGTTCCTCATCACCATCGCACCGGATGACTGGGACTACCCACTGGTCCAGCAGCTCGGTCGGGACACTAGGATGCAAGCCCAGCTGATCGCCGTCGGTCTAGAAAGTCTCAGTTTCTCTCTTCCTCTCCTCTCTTGCTCCTCCTCTCCTCTATCCCAGCTCCTTGCCTCTCTCGCAGCCACTCGTGTGTCTGTGTGTTTTCCCTTTCTCACCTTGTAGACTCCGTTCTTGTAGTATCCATAGAAGCCAGGGTTGACTTTGAACCTCTCCTCCCGCTTCTGCAGGTCGAGCGTCATGAACATGAGGTACGAGGGGAGTCGCTTCCTTCAGTGCCACGTCATCGATGCCCTCGGCGATCAACATCTGAACCTCCACCGGCTCGCCTCGGCTCCCCACCATAGTCACGCAGGGACTCAAAGGGGGCTGCATCGCTTTGAACTGCCTGGCAAACGGACTTAAATGGACAAGCTGCATTGAACTCCTCCTCTTCCTTCCTCCCCCCCCTGCCTCTCCTCCTGCTCTTTGCCTCACTTCCAATCTGTCACTTCCTCATGTTCAAACCACTCATGCTCTGGGATGACTGGATCCTTGCGATCAATCGGCTTTCCCCAGGAATCGCAGCATTTGGTTGGGCCTCCACTTGGAGCTCCTCCAAACGCCTTGAAGGGATCGACTTTGAGCCCTATGGAAACAGTTAGTGGGATTGAATTTGAAGTAGGCGGAACTGATCATGGTAGTGTCGAAGAATGAAGTCAATTTAAGGTTAAAGGCGAATTTAGGAAGAAAGACATATGGGAGCACAGGAGTGAGATAGAGATGGTGGAGGTGGGGATTGGGGAGGCGAGCGAGGAAATTAAGAGGGAGAGGAGGGAAGAGATTTCTGGGAGGGAGGAGAATACCTCTCGCTTCTCGCTCCTCAAAGTCCTTCCTGAACTCAGGAGGCACCTCAGGACGCCATGGGCATCTCAGATTGTCATCATCTTCATACTCCAACTCGCCCTGGTGAGCCCACACGTCTTCGATGGTTCGATCGGACTCTGACTCTGTCGTCCTGTTTGGGTGCAGCGGGCGAATCAAGTCTCTCTCTATCGGGCCATCCATGTCTGCAGCAGACAAGTCACACCTAGCAAGGCACACGCTGATGCTGGACAACAGCACGTGAGGCCAGGAGGGTGGAGTTGATGGTCAAAGTTGTCAATGCAGGGCAGGAATGGACCGGGAGAATGGGGTATGGGGGGGAGCTGCTGAGTTGACCTATGAGGCAGATGACGGCTCGAGACATGTTGGGGACGAGGACATCGGGGAAGTCTGGCCCAGCTATGGTGAAATTGCTTCCTGACCTCTCAGGGTGCGAGAAATTTGACCAGAGAACTTGTTCATCTTCGAACCTGACACGTCTATCAGCACGATGACGAGAAAGAGAATGCCAACATGTTAGGGACCCAGGGATCAGAAAGATGGCGAAGAATGCAAGGCAAGGCAGGGATCGGACACGCAGCAGGTGAAGAACAGGCGAGCAAACAAGTGATGGGGGGAGATTACATGTTCACATCCTCGTCATCTCGCACTGTCCGCGCTGCAAGTATCAGACGACCGTCTGCAGCACACTCCTCCTGCACAGCAGAAATTCAGAGCGAGCGAGCGAGCGAGAGAGAGAGAGATGCTTTGTCCTACCCCTTCTGTCGGATCGATCACCCATGCGGACCCGAGGCGATATAGAGAGACAGTGAGCGGGCAGTTGATGGAGTCGAGTCGCCAGTAGCTGTACCATCGCGTCATGGGGGGTTTAGAAAACCTCACACGTCTCACGTTGATCGATCATCATCCATCTCCACAGAGATTCGGTCTTCTGGTCCATCCTGTTTGAAGACTGCTTCCAGTATCACACCCTCCCTCCCTGCTCCCCCCCTGCCCTCTTCCCTCCCTGGCTCCCTCCCTCCCTCTCCTCCTATCTCTCTTCCCATCTCCTCTCTCACTCATTCTCGGAAACCATGTGGACCGCAGCGCTGCTCGGACCGCCATGACACTTGCATCAAGAAGATTCCCATCTGCCTCCAGCAGGTGAACTTTGACATGCAGCAACCAGCTGAAAGGAGGTCAGGTCAAGTCGAGGAAGAGGACAAACACTTGCTTCAGCTTCCCCGGAATGATACATAGTCTGTCGTCTTTGATGACCTGGAGTTCTAGAGTGTTGTACAGTCTTTCGAGGGTGCTGGTGGATTTGCGAACAGGAAGAGAAGAGAGGCAGAAGGCAAGGATAAGATCACCGCAATCAGATTTTTCTGCCCTCCTCACAGGTATCCAAGCAGTACCTCATGACGAGAAAGGAATAATCGCTCACAGCTTCCTGTTGCACAGGATCTCAGATAGCGGCCCCAACGGACTTCAAAACCTCGTCGTCTCTCTCCTGTCCGGAGCTTCCTGGCCCGCCGATCCCACGAAAATCGACTGAAAATGTGATAGGGGCAGGCCCGAGGCGACCAGGCGGGTGAGGTTTAGAGAACTCAGCGTGGACAGCTGGGAAGGCCTCTCTTAGGAGGCAGCCAAGAGACAGCAAGAGACGGACTCACAACACAGCACGTCTGTCCTGCCAAACCTCACGCGGGAGGAGCCGAAGGTGTTGGGCAGGACGGCGACTTCCACATTGACCTGCAACATTCAGAGGGGGAGAGTGCAGCGTGACATGCTTACAGGCCTCGATTGGAGAGATTTCCTGCCATCCTCTCGCAGCCCTGTCCTGAGAGAGGCTGTGAGCGAGGGCGAGCAGCCAGGCCCAGCTCACATTGCTTGGAGTCGGATACTCGACTTGTGGCTCTCAGGCATCTGGTATGTGATCCCGTAGTTCGCATCGACATCATGGGTAGTGCGGCATAAAAGCAGCACGAGGAAAATAAATCTTTCTCCAAGTAGAGATGACATCCTAGAAGGTAAGGTGGAAGATGGTAGACTTACAACATGACCGAGAGAGAATCTAGATACGAAGTGTCAGATACTCAGGATAATCCAGTCAATGAGGGCCATTTAGACAGTACTCGCTCTAAGATACCCTCAAAGCCCATCTTCCATTGGAGTTTCTTTCTTTCTTCACCTCGTACCTTCCTTGCTAAATGATGTCTCGACCCGGTTGTTCTGGTCGAAAGACTTCATTCTTAGATTGACACCCTCTTATCTCCATGTGCACCTCCATCTATGGGATGCAAACCCCATCCCTTCCTCCTCATCCTCGTCCTTAGTCCTCGTCCTCGTCCTCGTCTTCGATCTCCTTTCGTGAAACCCTTGCGGGCGCATCACAAGCAAGGATCCAGAAAAATACTTTTATGACATTGCTTGATGGTACAATTACAGTAGCAATCTTAAAATTTTAAAAAAATATTTAGATGAGAGTTACTTACTTATGAACTTTTAAAAATTGAGATTGAGGTTTCTGTATAATAAAGGAGACTGATAAGTGATAATTAAAATTATCTAATTTGTACATCTATAAACAGTGCTAACAATTATAAAATATCTATAACTAAGTTATATTCAGTGCGTCCGCAGCTGTGGATCACACTGATTGGTTTCCATGGTAGGTTATAAAATTTGATCTACTTGATGAAATAGTTTGCACAATCCATTCATATTTGAATTTCTCGAATAAATTGGATTGAAAAAATTGAAACTTTGTGCACGAGACCCGATCTTGTCTCCCCTAGCGGACAAAACCTGGTAGACCCCCACCCTTCCATGATCCCACCCCTTCTTTGAACCCCCTCTCGTTTGACACCTGGTCGATAGACCCACCCACCCCACATTCACTTGTTTACAAATTTACTCACCCGTCAATTTGATTGAAAAATCAGGTTCTAAAGGTAGGTCAGGGCTGAGATACACCCATGGACATACTCTCCCACCCTACCCTGTCAACTTTCAATTATACCCACTACCCCCTTGCTTACCGTCGCCTCCGCCGTCATGTCCTCACAAGTCATCGGTAAGTATGTCGGAGCTTCGCCATTCCTGCATGGCGCCTCGGAATATTTTATCGTCCCCTTCCTCTTCTTCTTCCTCCTCCACATCCTTGTCTCCTTCTGTTCCTGTCTTCCTCGCTCATCGCATCTGTTTTCCTTTGTCTTTACCTTCACTCTCATATAAGTTCATTGACTGCAATCCAATCCTACTTCATACTCACTTCCACATAAACTCATCAGGACTTAACTCGTAACTGATGAATCAATATTACTAACTCTATAATCTGGTGACATTTTTGATTATCTTTTCCGTTTGGTCTTGTTCGATGCCTACTTCACTGTTGTCGCCTGATACTTGTTTGGGTCACCATCTTATTAACTCCAATTGAAACGCCCGTCAATGTCATTATCGTGTGCAGACGCGAATTGCCAAGTGTTATAGGAATGAGCGCGATCGATGAAAACATTACGATTTTTAAGAGCGAAATCATGATGTAGATCGTTGCTTTCGAGCTGTTCTAATATTCTTGAGATTCTGTGTGTCTATCGTGTTCCATCAGCTCTCTGAAGGTAGACGATTGATGATGCTGAGTTGTACATAGTAGGAACTTGATATTGTTTTGTAGTTTGTTCGATTTTTATGGATATTTTTATGTGTTCATCCTAAGGAGGGGTTGATGATTTTGCACTTGCGTTTGCGATGTGGAAGATTGTTCATCTTAGCTCAGTCTGAAGCTATTGTTTTCGTTGTTTCCCACTGGAGGTTGATGCGATTTGTGTGTGAAATCACCATGTTCCAAGTTCTTCTCGACATGTTTGCGTTCATCCGCGAATCTTTCAACAAGGGAACTCAAATTGTGCACGTCACTTCTGAGATGCATGTGTGAGTATGCACACGCCTCTTTCACGCCTTATTCAACTCTCTCCTTTGTGACCGCAAGTGTTTCATATCCGCTGGTACCAGCGAGAGCATCGATGCTTCTGGTGGAGCATCACTCTTGTGTTGTTTGGGTGTTGAAATCAGGCCTTCTACCATTGCATCACCCATCAATAACCCTCTTACTTCAGTTCCTCGGAACTTCGTGCTGTTGGAAGAGCTGGAGAAGGGTGAGAAGGGAGTGGGGGATGGAAGCGTGAGCTACGGACTTGCGGACGGAAACGACAACACATTGACCACCTGGAATGGCATGATCGTCGGTCCCCATGGGGTGAGAAGATGTCAATAGACGCATGATGGTGGGCGACTGATGGTCTGAACAGTCTCAGCTTGAAGGAAGGATTCTCTCTCTCGTTATAACCTGCGGAGAACGCTATCCTGATGAATCTCCCAAGGTCCGCTTTCAGTCTCGCGTGAATCTAAATTTTGTCGATCAGCACAATGGCGCGGTGAGTCGACCTGATGTTGTTCTATTCTCCTCTTCTCATCGTGTTGGCTGTTTGACAGGTTGACTCGAGGAGCGTCTCGATCTTGTCACATTGGAATCGGTCATGCACTATGGAGAAGCTCTTGCAGGAGCTGCGCCGGGAGATGTGCAGCAGTCACAACCGCAGATTGCCTCAGCCTCCCGATGGCGCGATGTTCTAAGGTGAAGACTCCTGCTGATGTGGCTCGGCGATCTCACGGTGGTTTTGGATGGAAGTTTGCGTCGAGAGAGCATGATGGCAAGGGAGAAGTTTGATTGCAGAGCAGCGGCCAAGATCTTGTGTTGTTTATGTTGGGAGTCGATTGAACCTTTGCTTCAAGTTTTTGATCACCCATGGCTGGAGGGTGGAGGGATTCTATCTCGCCCTCTATCTAGCAAAGCAAACCAAAGATGAGAGATGTTTTTGCATATTGCTTTGTTTCGTCGAATTAAGATAGTAAATATCAGTTCTGTCACAACCCTCCAGGGCTTTCCGTTGATTTGCTACGAGATTGCCACACGGCGTGAGCAAATCTCGTCCTCTTCATCAGTCTTCCTCATCATCATCGTCCTCATCTCCCTCGTTCCTCTTCCTCCTACCCAGCTTTGCTCGATCCGGCAGCTTCGAGTCTGCACCGCGTTTCTCTCGCCGAGACTACACAGAGGGTTTCATCGGTACAGCACAGGAGGAGCAAGGAGAGCTACCTTGTGCACATCTTTCCGTGTTCCTGTGCTGTTCATGACAGGCTCATCGTCCCCCTCCCCCTGCTCGTCCGCGGGAGTGACCAGGAAGTCCAAGTTGAGCAAGGTATCACCTTGGGAGCAGATAGCGAAGACTGGGAGAACACCCTGTCCTGGTTCTTGATCTTCATCTGCCGCGCGTTCCCTCGCTGCTGGGCCATGTTCTGGAAGTACCTGGGAGAAAATCATGAGCATTCGCCCATTCCACCAATGCCCCTCCTTACCCGTCCCATCCTTTGAGGATGTTGCCGTTCTGTTGCGTGTCCTCCAGGTAAGAGGTCTCAAGTTCGAAGATTTCCTTCTCGATCTGCAAGAACATCTCTCGTCACTCTCATGATCGCACGCTCGAGCCTCCGTCACCTCCACCAGCTCCTTCTCCAGTTGATTCTTCTGTGTGATCAGACTCTGTAGGGACATGGAAGGGAAAGCGAACTACCCTGCATGCCCGTCACAAACAAAAGAGCAATCATCATCATAGAGAATGTGTCTACACGGTTTCTCTCTCCGTTGTCCACTATCCTTCACTATCCTCTTGCCCACTCCCATCCCTTCGGCTCCCTCCACTTTCATTTCAAGCACCATCCCCCTTTCTTTGCAAGGCTCTCTTCCTCTCTTCCTCTCCATTCATCTCCCAATCTCTCCTCCTCTCTTCCTCTCCATTCATCTCCCAATCTCTCCTCCTCTCCCTCCTCTCCCTCCTCTTCCTCCTCTCCCTCTCTCCTCTCCCCCCCCCCGCCATGCTCCCTCCCGCTCTCGCTCCTGCCGTTCATCTTGCCCAGCCCTCATGAGCTGCTCCCGGTGAGCGCATTGAGCTATTTATTATCTCTGTCCTACCCAATACCTAGGTCGCATACTGAGGCAGGCTTGTTAGACTAAGGCAAGGGTTTGTTCCCCGAATCCCCGTGCTATCACTCCCTCCCTACCGCCGCCGCCGCCTCCTCCTCCTCCTCCTCCTCCTCTTCCCCTGTCTCCTCACCCTTCCCTTTCCTTGTTCGTCGCTGAAATTCTCTCTCCCTTCTCTTTGGTACACTTTCTTGTTGTTTCCCACCATTTTCTCTTCCCTCTCCACCTCCATTGCATCTGCTCCAAATTCGTGTAATGGCAGTTTGAAGCGCCATGCAGGCACCCATTCTACATCTTCTCCTCCTCCTCCTCCTCCCCTTCTTCCTCCATCCAGCAGGCGGCCTTGACTGCGAGGGTGAAGATCCAGCCATCTCGGTTCTCAGTCCGCGTCATGGCAGCGTCCTGCCTTTGGAGCTTCACGGGATGGACGCGCTCCGAGTGGAGGTAGAGCTGCTCATGTGCAACTTCCATGCCATCGACGGGTCGATCAGCGTCTTCGGGGGAGTGGGGGAGCAGAAGATCCAGGACCTCTGGCATCCAGTCAACGGCAGGAAGAACTACAGCATCGATATCCCGTACGCTTACGGGGAGGCCTGGGAAGAGAGCATGGTGTACCTTGAGAGAGGGATGGGGATGGCGTACAGGCTGGAGTTCTCCCTGACAGAGGGAGGGTTTGAGGTCGGAGTGTCTTCTTTCGTCGACCTCCTGCTCATTTCAAGACACATCCCTCGCCCCGCCGATCCCTCGGTGGGGCTCAAGGAGGACAAGAAATTCATCTACCTCCTCAGCACCAAGTTCGAGACTTCACGCCCTGACCTGCAGACAGCATCCTCCGACCTCCTGCAGCTCGTGTGGGGCCCCTTGCGGCCCAACGGGTCGGACGCGATCTGGTATCCAGGGTGCACGTGGAACGAAGCTCGCAACCGACTGTACGAGGAGGCGAGGGGGAGGGGGAGGCACTATCTGTACTTCATCTTCACGGATGATGATGCAAGCTTGAGCTTGCAGCCTGGTCAGCCCATGGGACATGGTCCTGATGAGGTTGAAGGTGATCCATGGCGGGAGTATGAGCGGCTGCTGCTCAAGTGAGGAGGAGGAGGAGGTTGAGGTTGAGGAGGAGGAGGACGAGGTTGAGGAGGACGAGGAGGAGGAGGACGAGGAGGAGGAAAGCGGCGGGGGAGATGTGGTGAGGAGGGGGTGGAAGACGAGAGGACACAGAAAGCAAGGAGGGGGCAGAGGAATCGAGGCAGGGAGTTCGATGACTGATCTGTGCTCAGGTGGCAACCGGCAGCGGGATACGCCAAGTACACTATCCAACAGCCTCACACTCAGAAGCGGGACGGGCCGGAGGACGAGATTCAGTGCGTGAGGTTTGCTGATCCGCTACTGGTGGCCTATCACTTTGAAGCAGCTGGTGATGGAGATGAGATGAGACGGGGATGATGAAGGGAGAGCGTTGGAGAAAGGGGAGGAAGGGGAAGGGGAGGAGGAGGAGATGGAAGGTGGGAGAAGGAAAGCGAGGATGGCTACAGCGCGAGTTGTCTTGTTGTGGACTGATTTCCTTGCAGCTTTCCTCTTGCCGTACACCACGGAGTTTGACAGGTAAGGGGGGCGAGCAACGGCTGCTGTTGTCCTTCACCTCTGCTCTCAGCGAGTCCTGGCACTACTCGGCTGTTGTGATCAACGTAAGGGAAGGGAGGAAGAGAGGAGAGAAGAGGGAGAGAAGAGGGAGGGAGGGAGGGAGGGAGGGAGGGAGCGAGGGAGCTGAGAGTTCCTGGCAGGTGCTTCAGTCGCTTCACTACAGGAATCACATCCTCCAGTTCAACTCTCTCTACGTTCACGACAACCAGAAGACCGTCGGATACGCAGGTGGAAAGAGGAGCTCAACTGTTGTTTCTCCTCTCCTCTCCTCTCCTCTCCTCTCCTCTCCTCTCCTCTCCTCTCCTCTCCTCTCCTCTCCTCTCGCCCTGCCCCCTCCTCTATCCTACTCTTCCCTCCCCTCGCCTCCTCCCTCTTCTCGCTCCTCTTCCCTCGTCTCATTCTCCAGCTACAGCCTTCAGGTTGATGAATTGGGAGCGGCCGATCAGGTGGATCACTGCCTCAATTGCTTTGCACGAGCATGTCTCCGAGGTCGGCATCCTGAATCCCGTGCAGGTTGAAACCCCTCTACCCTCCCCTCCCCTCTCCTGCTCCTCTCCCCTTCTCTCTCCTACTCTTAGCTCATTCTCTCTCTTCCTCTTCCCCTTGAAATCTCCTGCCTGCTCCTTCCTCCCGCCCCCGCTTCCTCTTCGTCCCACCTGTCCTTTGCGTCTTTCTGTCTGCTTCACCTCCATCCTGCTCTCCTCGTCCTCTCACTCAGACTTCGGGTCAGGTCAAGTGCCATCCTTCGGTTCATCCCCTGCCCAAGGCTTTATCCTACGTCGTGAAGCCCTCGACCTTCGACATCTGTCATCCAGTACGTCTCCATCCTCCTCCATCATCTTCATGTTCCTGCTCCCCCTGCACCTCCCACTTCCCCGAGGTCTCCTCTATCTACCCTGCTCGCACCTTTGTTTGCTTGTTCCTGCTCATGCAGCCCCTCCTCTCTCTCCTCCTCCTCCCCTCCCTCCTCCTTTCCACCCTCTTTGCAGGTCTTCCAGCATCTTCGCTCCCCCGAGCTGGCCACCAGCACCCACAACTGCTCGGGCTGGAACTTGGAGGGGAAGCTGTTGGACCTTCTCTTCGTCCAGTGCGCCTGAAAGAGGAAGGGGGAGACGAGCCTCACGTCCTGCTAGGATTGAGCTGGGCAAGCAGCTGAGGGCGGAGCAGGAGGGGAAGCTCGACGAGCTGAGGATGGAGGTGAAAGAGGTCCTTCCTCCTCCTCCTCGTCCGCGCTCCTTGGCTGAAGTTCTTGCAGCTACGGGAGATGATGCAGCAACTGCTCAAGGGGGAGGACAAGGAGGGAGGGAGCGAGAGCGAGAGCGAGGATCAAGGCAGAGATGGAGAGAAAGGAGAGGAGGAGGAAACAGGAGAGAGAGGAACAGGAGGAGAGACAAAGGAGGAGCTATGAGAGACAGACATGTTGATTACAATCACGGGATGAGTACGAGACTGGAAAACTCCCTGGATGTCGCAGAGGGGAAGGAGGAGGAGGAGGAGGAGAAATGTGGATAAAGGGAAGGGGGGGATGGGGAGGAAGGAGGCGAGAGGAGATGACAATCGTCATGATGAGCCGGGAGGAGGAGGAGGAAGAGGAAGAGACGAAACAGCTCCATCCTCGCTTGTCTGTGTGACTTTGAGGAACACTTGCTCTAGACTGACCTGCACGAGGTGCTGGAATTAGTGGAGAAGAGACGGGGAAGAGAACAGGAGGAGGCGGAGAGAGAAGGGGAGGGAGACAAGGGACGAGCAAGGGACGAGGAGGATGGAAGAGGAAGCAGGAGGGGGCGAGGGGAGGGGAGGTGAGGGGGCGAGGGGAGGGCCCAGAGGAAGCAATTCATACTTGACTGATGCAGTAGTCCTCAATGTTCATTTCCTCCTTCCACGTCTCCATGGCAGCAAACAAATCAGCAAGCGGCATCTGCTTACAGGAAGTCAGGGGGGGAGGGAGGGAGAGGAAGGGAGAAGAGTTCTAGGAACAGGACAGGGAGTGTAGAAGCACCTGCGTGCTAGGTTCAGTTGCTTGCTCCTTCATCTGCACGTGCAGAGTGAAGATGCTGTTGGTGTTGTTGCTGCTGCTGCCGCTACTCAACATCTTGCTGGAGGAGGAAGCACCCTGCTCCTGCTCCTGCTCCTCCTCCTTCACCTCCGCTGCTGGGAGCTTCTCCCGCAGGAGCTCCTCCAGCCTCATGCGCAGGAGAGCTCGAGAGGCAGCAGGGAGCTTGACCTGAAGGACGAGGCCGCGACCGAAGCGAGACTTGAGCGACTGCACGGAGCCGATGCAGCGCAACGATCCCTTGCTCATGATCGCCACCCGAGTGCTGATCGCCTCCGCCTCCGCCATGCTGTGTGTAGTCAGGAGGATCGTCCGCCCTGGCAGCCGCGAGCGGAAGAAATCCCACATCCTCCTCTTGCTGATCGGGTCAACTCCAGTGCTGGGCTCGTCGAGGAGGAGGATGGAGGGGTCCCCGACCATCGAGAGAGCAGCACAGAGCTTCCTCCTCGTCCCCCCCGAGTACGTCTTGACGCACTTGTCAGCCCACTCGGCGATGCCGAACTCCTGCAGCAGCGACGTCGCTATGTTCTGCGCTGTCGCTCCCTTCAACCCCGCGAGCTCAGCACACAGGACGAGGTGCTCCCGACCCGTCATGCCCTCCCAGAGCGTGTCGCTCTGTGGGCAGATGCCCAGGAAAGGGAAGATATCAAGGAGGTTCCGGTAGACAGACTTGCCCCCCAGGATCGCCTCCCCTCCACTAGGCTGCAGCTCCCCCGATATCATCAGCATCGTCGTCGTCTTCCCCGCCCCGTTGGGCCCCAGAAGGCATATACACTCCCCCTTCCCAGCTGAGAACGATACGCTCCTCACAGCAACCTTCCCGCCTGCACCACAGCCGTAGAGCTTGCGGAGATGGTGAGCACAAAGATGCCCGCAGTGTTGCCTTCCTCCTGCCTCGATCCTCTCCCTCTCTGCAACCACGTCCGCGTCCTCCTCCTCCTTCGTGTCTTCTGGTAGCTGAACATGCTGCTTGCGGAAGAAGTAGGTTCGGAGGTCGAGGTGAGCGCTCATGAGCAGGTAGACCAGGCCAGAGAGGAGGAGGATGAGGTGATACTGCAGGATCCCGTCAGGAGAAAAGAAGACCTCCGATAGCGAGTCCTCTTGCTTCAGGTCGTGCGAGATGATGGCGTTGACGCTGAGCAGGAAGAGGCTCCAGGCAAAGGCAAGGGCGGGGAACACAGAGAGGATGAGAGAGAGGGAGGAGGCGAGGTTCGGGACAACGAGAGCGAGGGAGAAGAGGAGGGAGAGGGGGATGGTCGTCACGAACAGGAGCACAGTGCTCATGTACTTCAAGACGGCCTTGGAGGAGGAGAACAGGAAGGTGAGAGCATACGTCAGTGCGCTCATTGCGAAGGCAAAGCACAACATCAGGGAGGAGGAGGCCAGCGCATAGCTCGACATGAAGACAGGAGAGTGAGTCGCTGCCCCCAGGATGAGAGTGGCGAGGGCGATGAGCATGAGGAGCAGCACGTCGCTGCTGATCTGAGCCAACCAGAAGTCCAGACTTCTCGCGCCCGCCACGAAGAGCATGTGCTTGAGCCTTCGCTCCCTCTCGCTAACCATCTCCTCGGCGATGTAGGACGGAGGATACAGAAACGCCAGCGTGAGGAGGAACGAGAGCATGAAGCTCTGCGGCTGCGCCGTAACGGACCTGCCCGGGAGGGTGTGGAGGCTAGTCTCCACTTGCACCCCTCCCGCTGGTCCTCCTCCTCCCTCGCACGCCCGCAGCAGCGCCGCATTGTAGACGGCATGCTGCAAGACAGTCGCCACCATCGTCCTGGTAGAGTTGAAGGTGATAGTCGTCTGCAGCGACCCAGGAGGGCTAGTCTCCATCAGGTGTACCTCCATGCCTGCGATGTACATCTTCTTCTTCTTCGCGGGAGCGTAACGGTCAGTGGCGTTGAGAAACTCCTCGTGGTTGGAGACCATGTTGCAGGCGAAGCCCTTCTGGGAGAGAGGATAGAGGAGGCTGGCGAGGGAGGAGGACGAGGAGTTGAGCAGGACCAGCTGAGAAATCCAGCGCTCTGAGCCGAGAGAGGAGAGAGAGATGGGCTTGCCGGCCCTTGTGAGGTCCCCGGAGAAGGAGAAGTAGGAGGAGTCGAAGAAGGTGAAGGTGAGGATCGACAGGACCGTCGGATACAGTAAGAAGTAGGCCAGAGCCCTTCGGTCTCGAATCCTCACCAGGAAAAGTTTTCTCATCAGGACCTGGAGGAGATGGAGGGCGAAGCAGGGTAGGGCAGGAGGAGGAGAGAGGAGGACAGAAGAGAGTCAGAGAGCATTCAGATACGGACAAGAGTCATGACTTGCCTTCACAGAGTGCAGGCCGTTGAAGTAGCGGACTCTCCTCTCCTTCGTCTCCTGGGGTTCGTTCCCGTGCTTCCCCTCCTGAATGCTCGTCTCGTTGACCAGCACGACTCCCTCACAGATGCGCAGGAAAACTTCCTCGAGCGACGTCGAGGTCAGCCCGTATCCCTTGAGCCCTAGTGATGACAGGTTGCTGTCGAGCCCCCGCAAGAGGTTCGGGAAGGTGGAGGAGGAGGGATGGCCGAGATCAAAGCTGGCCTCGCAGCTGGACCTGCTTGTCAGCTTGGCAGCTGGGACTCTCTTGAGGATGAACTGCTGGAGCATGTCGGAACCCAAGGGCAGGGAGCTCGAGCTCCTGCTGAACGCATCTGCCCCTCCTCCCGCTCCTCCGATCTCCTCCTCGCTGCAGTCATTGAAGACGCAGTGCAGCTTGTACCCCAGCCCGTATTTGACCTTGAGCTCTAACGGCTCTCCACACGCCTTGAGGACGCCGTGGACCATGATTCCTATCCGGTCGGCGATGGCGTCAGCCTCGTCCATCGAGTGGGTCGACACAATCAGCACACGGTCCTTCTTGTTGTGAGCGAGGGCCCGCCAGAGAGCGTGTCTGCTCTTGGCGTCCATCCCTGCCGATGGCTCGTCCAGGACCACAAACTTGGGATCGCCCGTGAGCGCCAGGGCGACCGACAGTCGCCTCTTCATCCCCCCCGACAAATTCTTCACTGCTTCCTGCATCACGCTCCCCAGGTCCATCTCTTCGCAGCGCCTCGCGACTTCTTTTCTCAGCAGGGCACCTCTCAGGCCCCTCAGCCCTGCGAAGAACTTGAGATGTTCCTTGACGGTCAGGTCATCGAGCAGAATGTCTTCCTGCGGGCAGTAGCCCAGGATCTCTCGCAGCTTCTCGATGCTGTTCATGTCCTCCAGGACGTGATCGAAAATGCTGATCATCCCGCCGGAAGGGCTCACAATCCCCGTGAGCATGTTGAGCAATGTCGACTTCCCAGCTCCGTTGGGCCCCAGGAGGGCGAAGGTTTGATTCTCGTAGAGGTCGAGGGAGACTGACTCGACAGCCAGAGTTGTCTGGCCTCGATTCTCTTCGTCTATGTACACTTTCCTCACTGACCTCAGCTGCACCCGGCTCCCTCCAGCTCCTCTAGCCTGCTCGACGTCTCCACCCTCTGCGTCTGCCCGCTCCACGTCCAACGACTCCGGCCCTGCCTCACCCGAGAGGCGGAGGAGGGGGATCCCGTCGTTGCTGTCTTCAAGGATGTGGCGGAACAACCTCCTCCGGAGGGATGCTGGAAGGCAGCGACATTTCTTCCACTCCCCTGTGCTGAAGGCTCGCTCGAGGTAGATGGCAAGAAGAAAGTAGATCGCAGCGTCAACCACCATCATGACAATGAGGATGCCCACAGGATGCTCTCCGGCAGCGAGGTTGCTCCATCGTATCCCGTTCCTCCAGATCTCAGCTCCTGTTGACGACATGGCAACGGGGGAGAGGAGCGAGAGGAACCAGAACACTTCCAACGGGACATTCAACGCCCGGAGGAGAGCAAACAGGAAGCTGAAGAAGGCAAGAAGCCCCGAGCCAACCGCTCCCGCGATCTTGGGCGAATCGAAGAAGATGCTGACGAAGAAGGAGAAAGTTACAATGGAGGAGACGAAGGCGAGGAAGACAAAGTAGATGAGGGTTATGTCGCTGTCAGAAAATAGCGACGTGAAGGATCCGAACACAACAACGAATGCGATGGCAATTGCGAATGCAAAGATTTCGGAGATCAGCCAGGCCGACCAGAAGACTATGTCCTTCAATCCCATACACCTCATGATGTTGCGCAGCCCGAGCTTCCGCTCGGTCACGATGTTCACGAGAAGGATCTGAATGGAAGGGATCCATGCCGCAACGAAATATAGCGAGGTTATCAACGAGATCTTCATCTCTGGTCCTCCAAGCTCGTCAAGGCTCGTCGTCGGCATCGGCTGCATCCACAGGTCGACCTTGGCGGAGTTTCCCAAGAACGAGAAAGTCTTGCGCAGGGAGTCATGCAGGAGCTTCTGAACCGTCAGGATGCCTGAGTCCATGTCAGCATTGGGGGAGAGCCCAGCTCGAGCGTCCAACGAGTTGGTGCTGTTGAAATGGATGGAAAGCCCGACTGTACAGGCGGCACATTTACCAGCGGCTCTCGGTAGCGCCCCTGGTATCTCATGCAGATTTTTACTCAATGAGGAGGATCGAGGGAGGTCGAGCATCCCACCTTCCTCCCCCCGCAGTCCCTTGCACTGTCCCTTCTCGCTCACCACCACTGCTGCTGATACGGTTCCGGGGTTTGCGAGGTGATATCTGTGGGCCGCTGTTAGGTTGGGCATGGCCATGACGGTCACTCTGGAGCCATAGAGCTCTTCCTCCAGGCTCCTCATCAGCCCTTGCACAAGTCTGCTCGAGGAAGGGAGCAGGAGGATCTTACACGTCCTCATGGTTTCATCCGCCTGACCAGGGTCACTCTGGTTCCCAGGGCCAAGCTTGCTCCTCCCTCGCACCTCTCCTCGACCGTAGATCGAGCCGCAGTAAGCCCCTGCTCTTGTCTGCTCCAGCCGCGGGATCGCTCTCGCCCTCCATCTCTCTACTGTCTGATTCTGTGTTCCCAGATCAACAACCGCCTTGAGCATTGCGATCAACATGAACGTGTAGATCGGAAATGCTATCTCTTTCAAGCTTGATTTCCAGTTCCTGATCTTCAACCTGACGTTCTTCCATAGTACCCATCTGAGTTGTTCTAGAGACATGCTATCCCAAAATTCTTCACTCCTTCCGAATCGTTCGCTGCCAACGACCTGCATGTCAGAATTCAGTATCCTTTGGCTCACTCAGATTTGGTTGCCAATCAAAACTCCCCATCCCTATCCCTCGTTATCTCGGTTCCTGGATCTCCTTCACGCTACATCTTCTCCCCTAGTTCCAATCCTCTCCTCCTCTCCTCTCTCCCTCTCTCCCTCCCCCCTCTCCTCTCCTCTCTTCCTATCGATTTCTCTCCATGGGCGGGGAAATTTTGTGTTGCCCCACCCCACCCCCGATATAACCCCCCTACATGCTACTACCCACCCTCCCATCTCAACAAGGTCTCTTGCAAACCGACTACCCTACCCCCTAATTTCAGTTTCTTATACCCCTCATACTCCCACAAACCCCCCTCATCACCCCACCCCATCCTGACTACATTCAGGACTACATTAGCAATCCTGGCCTTCTAATCCCTTGTTACTCGCTATGGTCGGACGCGCGTCCGCCCATCGCTTCCTAATGCAACCTCCCTCTCCCTCCTCCTCCTCCTCCTCCCTCCTCCTCCTCCTCCTCGTTGCATCCTCCTTCCTCCAGTCAGAGGCCTTCTCCTTCTGCCCTGTGGTAAGTCGAGCATACCTCTGGTTCGAACAGTGATGACGTCAAGCAAGGCTGGGCGCCCCGGAGTTTCTTCCAACTTCCTCCGCTCCCTCGAGCGATCTTGCCGGCATCATGCATCCCCGGCCCCCAGGCTGAGAGTCTCGTGCCAGCTTGATGGTGGTCTAGGCAAAGAGTTCGAAAACTACAAGAAGACAAGCGAACAAATGGAGGAAATCTTCAAGGTAGGTGATCACATTGTACGAGAGCATCTGATTGGAGTTGCAGAAAGCATCGAACGATCTTCAATCACGAGCAAAGGAGGAGCTGGACTCGTTCAATCAGCAGGTTTTGCTCATACTGGTGTGTTGGTGTGACACTGAACACCCCCTCAGGTAGATGAAATTATGTCGAGGAGAGAGGAGGAGTGGGAGCTTCTCGGAGCTAAGGCGGCAGAGTCTCTCGTGAGCAAGGTGATGCCAAGTCGTAGACGGGAGGAGAGACTGACTGAGCTGATCGAAGGTTGACGATCTTGCTGAGAACTTCTTGAAGGGAACCGGTGCGGCGATTATTGAATCATGTAAGAAATAACTCTCGGTGCAGGAAGGGGTTCGAAAGACGACGACGACGATGAGTTTGCGGACCTTCAGAAGTATCTTGGACCTCAGGTTGAGGAAGGAGGGCCAAGTGGCAGGAGCGCGTCGCACGTGACGGTCCTGCCAGGAAGTTGCGGTCATCGGCCCACCCGGGGTAGTTCGTGATGAGGTGGAGGAGGAGCTAGTGAAGAGAGCTCCCTGTGACTGCTCTTGCTAGATCATGGCGAGGCTGGGCCAGCAGCAATCTCTCAAGATCTCTTCCTGCGAGAAGTGAGCTGAGAAGGTCGGGGCCGCTTGCCCCAGCTGACTCCCTCCCCCCTCAGACTTCTGGAGACCCGCGGCATGACCATCGAGAACTCTGACACCCTCATCTTCGTAGGAAACGACGAGCCGCTGGACAGGGTTAGCTCCCTGCCCTCTCTTCTCCCCCTTCCTCCCTCTTGTTTCCTCCTACCTCCTCCTCCCTTCCCTCCCTCCTGCATCGTTTCGCCCCTCCTCCCTCTCTCCCGTTCTTGTTGCATCCCGCAGCTCATGTCATGGCAGAGCCTGGTTGAGCGCTTGATCGCAAGGGGGACTGCGACCAAGAAGGTCTTGGAGAAGTCGTGAGGCCATGGGATAAGAATACGCAGATTCGTCGAGTTGTCCTGCTGTCCTCCCTCGGAACCTTGCGTTCGGACACTTTCCCATTCTCGATGCAGAATGCTTTCTCAGGCAAGACATGTCATGACATGGCATGAATCTTTCATGATACTCCCTGTAGGTGTTCTTGACAAGAAGCGAGACGTCGAGCTTGGAATCCAAGAGAAGAGGTGAGTTGAGGCGTGAAGCGAAGGACTGAAACTCAGTCCGTGCGTGACAAAACTCGTCTTTTTTGCACAAGCTAGAGTGTGATGAATGGTTCTGCAGCAAGGCCGTCGGCTTCTCATACTCGATTGTGCGCGTTGGAAAGATCAATGCAGATCAGAACCTCAAGGGTGAAGGAGAGGAAGGCTGATTGCTGATCTTTGACACTCGTCTCAAGGAGTCATGCTCAAGCCTGGAGACGACCTGGTCGAAGACATCAACCCTTGCGTACCCCTCTCAGTCCTCCTGCTCTCCCATTAAATTTCAGCACCTAGGTTGCCGCCGAAGCTGTTCTGCAGTCGATGCTCTTCCAACCCTCTGCTCTCAACGCATCCATGTTGACGTCATTCTTTCTCGATGGCTGCCTGACGAGCTTCGATGTCAAGGTCTATCATCGGGGAGAAGAGCGCCAACTTTCCGACGCAGACGGAGGTTTCCAGCAACGTTACTGACACGTCAAGGACTGAGAGGAGTGGCAGTGGGATGATGAATTCCTGCGCTTGGATGGACCTGAGCTCTTCCGCGAGCCTCTTGGGTCCGTTTCTGCTACGGTGAGTGTACTTGTTCTTCGGTCTGCTTCCTCCCTCCTCCCTCCTATCTCTTACCTCCCCGCCTTGAAACCTGCTTCCATGCTCGACCTGGTACCCTAATCTCCTCAACCCTCTCTTTGTCATCTACGAGCGCATTACGGCTGAATTCTACTCCGCAGGCCTGCATGGACTGGGTCAAGACCTCCTGGGCACCACGATGGGAGAAAAGCGGCAGCGGTCTGACGACGCCAGTAAAGGTAAAATTGACCTTCCCCTCTCCTCTCCTCCTCCCCCACCAACGCCATCGCCTCCTTTTCCTCCTCCTCCAAATCCTGCCTGCTGATATCTCCCTTCAGATTGTCGAGACGGCCAACGGAGTTCAGCTCGTCTTCAGGTGCATATCGTTTGTTCGTTTGCCTCCTTCACGAGCAAGTTTGTCAGGCCTCCCAAGTCAAACTTTGTCTCTTTCAAGGAGGAGAAAGTAGGGACATACTGTCACTCTCCCTCCCCTCCTCCTGCTCCTGCTCCTGCTCCTGCTCCTCCTCCTGCTCCTCCTCCTCTGCCTGTCCCTCCCCTCCTTCCCCTTCTCCTTCTCTTCCTGCCCCCTTCCTCTCCTTGTATCCTGAGACGACTTGGCTCGGTAGGAAGCAGAGAAGGCGCGGGAGAAGGGCGACATGGTGAGTGCAAAAGGATGGTCGGAACTCGCAACTCACTGGAGAGCAGGACGAGAAGAATTCCAAGTTTCGCCAGGTCACCGACAAGGAAGGAGGAGTAGAGGTTGGAGCATGCGCAGCTTCTGCTCGCCGATGCTGACGTGTCTTTCAAGGTTGTCGTTGAGGACAAGCCCTTTCCCCGCGTTCGGGCCCTGCGGTGCAATATGGGAGAGGTAGGGTCTGATCTGTGCCGGGGGTTGCGATGATGGAAGAGCAGGAGACTGTGATCAAGGAGACGTCGGAGAAAATTATCCTGTACGTGGAGCATGCTCCGAATGTTCCGATGATCCCTGCTCTGTCTCGTGTAGTACCGTTTGCAAGATGTGACATGTATTGTTGTTTCGACTTCCTCGGTGTGAATCATGATCTTTGTGTCTCACACAATGTGATTTGAGATGTGTCGTGGCATACCAAACACGATCTCCCATCACCTTTAATGTCTCATGCACTTGAATATGCTTTCACCCAATCCTTCATGTGATCATCACATCTCAATCACACTGTGTGACCTAGTCCTGTCAAGACATGTTGGTTCATCTCATCTCATCTCCTCACATCTCACATCACATCTGCATCGCATTATCTGCATGCTCATCATGTCGTTTCGCTTCTTCTCTCATCTTCTCATCGCAGCTCTTCCCTCCGCAAAGACGTCAGTGCATGGATCGCAGCGCGCAAGTAGGGATAGTAAAATGCAAGGGTCCCTGCCACGGTCTATTAGTACCGGTACTCTTAATCGCTTTTTGAAGACATAAAGACCGGTACTCAAATCGCATCTACCCCTTGAGGTTGGGTTATAAGAGCAATGGCTGGAGCTTGGCGAGGCTTCGCCGCCGCTCCTCCTCCTGCTCACCGTCGTATGCTCCTCCTCCCTCTTGCCTTCACTCTCATCCTAGATACTCCGCGGACTTCAGGGTTCCTGGTCCCTCCTCCTTCTATACGGCAAGGAACGATCATATCCAAGGCACTGGGTAGGTGGAGAGCAGAAGTCCCGCGGAGGGGGCGCTGGTTCTCGATGCAGGCAGCAGATGACAAACTGGAAAGTCTTACCTTCGACTTCGCATCCCACCTGAAGGAGCATCTCGACGGCCTGTGGGGGGCCAGGGGAGCTGAAGATTGGTCCTTGTACGCTGCAAACATACAGTTCAGCGATCCTATCCAGAGCCTGGGCGGGCTGGAGGAGTACAAGAAGTCCTTGATGCTGCTCAAGGACTCGCCGTTCTCTTCCAACGTCTTGTTTCAGACTCACGATGTCTCTGTCAGCGGCAAGGGGAGGGTGAGGTCGAGGTGGACCCTCTCGAGCGACGTGAAGATCCTACCATGGCGACCTCGAGTCGTTTTCACTGGCATCTCAGAGTACGAGCTGAATGAGGAGGGGAAAGTTTGCAAGCATGTAGACTACGTGAGTTTGAACAGACGCTTTCTTTGATGTGTCCTCCCCCTCTCGCTCCTTCTTCTCCTCATTTCCTCGTCGCTCATATGTGCTCTTCTGACGGGATAGCTGTTGTGTTCCTTTGACTTTTCATGCAGTGGGACAGTGTGAAGGAAGGAGAGTTTCTGGGTGGGTGGAAGGACATTCTTATCGGAGGAAGTCGCTTGTGGCAAGGGCGACAAGATCCCACAACCTACCTGCCCGAGGTTTGCGAGAATCTCACTGACCCCGCCCCATTCCGTTCCTCATACAGTAGTGAAGATGACGATTCTTCGGAGAGGAAAGGATTACGAGCTGAGGAGAATAGAAGAATCCTACTACGCGGAGATTGTTCTGAACAGGACAACAACGAGGGTAGCGCTGCAACTTGATCGTGGGGAGATGTTGTGACAGGATTTCTGCCTGCTCCAGGTGGGTGCGATCAAGGCGATGAACAAGTACTGGACGGTGTGAATTCGAGTGTGCTGAAAGAGGACGTGTGTGACAAGAAGCAGGGCTACAACACCAACGCTCGAGTCATCTCACCTTCTCAGCCGACCTTGTAGCCTCTAATGCTCACTTGCGATATTCCTGACCCCTCATGCTTTCCTCCCCCTGCAGCATCTCAGTGTCAGAACCTAGCTCGCAAGCTACCGTGACCGTGAGGTGACTGGATGCGGACGAGGTTGCCATGTAGTCAGAGCTGTCTGCACGCAGGAGCTTCCTACCTGGAGCTATGGGGACTGGGAAGGAGAAATCCCCGTGAGCGTGCTAGTCCAGGATGTGGGAAGGATGCTTACGAGCACCCGCAGGGAGCCGCTGGACAGGAAGGTCATGATCAAAAGAAGGCCTGGAGGGATCTTCGCTGTGCGTGTGCGCTGTTGAGCCCTGCGTCCTTTGACAAGATTTGGGACAGGTCAAGAGAATACTGACGCAACCTGACCCGCTGGACGAGTGGATCTCAACGGAGCAAGTGAGCCGACCTGCATTCGGCTCTGCGACTGCGCTGACCTGCGCAGGTCTACGATATCCGCGCTCAGCTCCTTGATCGCCTGACGGAGGAAGGGGTCAAGACCCGACAGGTCAGTGCAAGGCTGCAGGTGGATTGGCTCTGAATTCCGCTAGGACTTCAAGGTTGCGAGGTTCGCAAACGTGTATGGACCGGGCGACATCCGGTATGAGTTGTGGTAAGGAACCTCGGTTTCAAGATGGTGCTGGGGATAAGCGCTTGCAACTCCCAGGGTGCCCGTTCAATCTTTCGAGATGCGAGCTGCTTCATTGATCAGGTCAGCCAGCTCTGTGGTGCCGGTGAGATCTCCCTGACTGCATGCTTGCAGCGCTTCAAACACTTCCAAGATCAGTGGCCTCAAACTGGACTTCTCACTCCTCGACGAGGAGGAGTGAGCGTGTCTGGCCCTGGCCTCCATGGACATCGATGTGAATCGTTGAGGAGGGTTGGGAGAGGTAGGATAAAACTTTGAAGATGAAGAATAAGGATGACACTGCGATAATGCAACGATGCGAGAAGGTGGTGTCCAGTATGGCAATAAACATCCATGAAACAAAACATGTTCTCATACTACAGTTGCAGCATGTTTCTGCTCACGCTCCTCGTTGCAATTAGGAGGAGAACCTGCCCTCGTGGCTGAGGTCGTCAGCATTCACGATGCCTGAGGTGGCCTTGTCGGAGAGACCTGATCGACCCACATGTCAGCACAATACAGCACGCGATATCGTTGCCAGGGGGCTCACCGGAGCCCTCCTTGGAAACATGGTAGGGCTGGTCCATGGGGCCAGTGACGGAGAAAGCGTGGGACAAGACTTGGAACCTGGAGGAGATGAGCATGAGTAAACAGATAAGACCGCCGCACACACATCATCATCCGTAATGAGTCGGCATTAAGGACAAACTCCACCTCATCAACGCACACAACAAACGCAACAGGTATTGCACCCATAATACAACTACGTTGAGCAGATCGTAATATTATGCAAGTGAAGTGGAAAGTAAGCAAAATTGTCTGAAAGCATATATCTGGATCATGTTTGAAACATGCTGATGTCGGAGACAGTAAAACATTGCATCAGGCATCTTCAAACACTTCCCTATTCAATAGAAAGAATTCTACCCTATGATGTCAGAGGTTCGTCATCTTCGACTGCCCGAATGATTTCCCATGTTTCTGCTGCTTCATTCATCTTCTACCTCTCCTCCCACCACAGCCATTTCGCCCATTGCCACCGCCCTCCATACTCACATTCTGTTGCTCTATTTCTGGCGAGGTCGCCTGCTTTTCATTTTGTACCCCACCATCTTCAACACATACCCCTCCAAATGTCTGTTCGTACCCTACCACATTCCTACCACATTCCATGGCCTCTTAACCCCCCACCCCCCCATCCTCCCATTGATTGGCTTAAAAAAAAAAGGAGGATACCTCATCCCTCATCAGACCCATTTGGGAGCCTCTTCCCCGCTCGTACCCTTCCGTGTATGCGCCCTCATCCCCTCAATCAAAGTTTAATTAGCCCGGTCATGAGCCGCTGAGTAGCAAGAAGGTCTGACTGGGAATGGGTGGGGGGTTATAATCAGGGGAGGGGTGGGTGAAAATGAGGGGATCGGACCAGGAGGGTGGGGTGATTAGAATAATTCTTGTTCTCTAGGGAGCTGGGGTGATGAGGGTCGTAGGGTAGGAAGCAAAGATAGGTGGGGTCCAGCAATTTCTGACTGCAAGGGTGGGTGGTGGTCGAGATTTGAATGAGATTGCAATCTGACGAGGCTACAGAGAAAAAACGGGGGAGATGAGGGGGTAGGGGTCCAGTGTGGAGTTCGAGAGGGGAAGGGGGAGGGATATTTTGAGATAAAAGGGGGTGGGTAGATACGAGCAATTATACTGCCAGGGGTAGTTTCTGGTCAACACTGGGGTGAAAAATCCGTTTGATGTTCCAGGAGGGGTGGTCGGTCTTGGAGAAGGGGGTGAGGGTGATCAGGGAATCGGTCGCATTTACCATTAGAAACTATACCCTACGCAGAAGGTCCAAGTCCTCCTAGAACCAAGGTCCTACATCCCGTTGAGGGTAGGAGACTAGAACCCAACAATAGCTGTCATATACTGGAGGTCATAGAGCCCTAAGTCCTGAGCGTCTGGATTTTCGGTGCTTGTCATTTTACTCGTACTAGAGCCCAAAGGGGGGTGGTACTCCCCTTGCCTCCTAGTCCGTAGGAGCTTTCCACATGCTTGATCCCTAATTGATTTTAGTCAAGTATGAAACATCAATTACTACCCTCGGCCCCCTCTCCTAATTTGAATAGGCAAGAGCTTGTTTGGGTGGTACGAAAAATTAAATAACTATCTTTCATGGTACAATCTGGATAAAAGAGATGTACTGGAATTCAGATTGGGGTGAAGGAGGGGGTGGGTGGGTGGGAACCCTCACCGAAAAGTGGATCTGGTTCATGCGCGATGGGGGAGATACTGGGCCTGAACCGCAAGACTTGATGATGCGTTCACGTTCGCTGAGTTGTTTTCTCTAGGGACCTTTGCGATCTTTGATGCAACTTACCCTTTCTGTCATATTGCTAACATGTACTTGCGTTGAACTCGTCCTCCTTTATCGCTCTGACCCTCATATGTTGTGCGTCCCATCGTCTGGATTCGCCAGTCATGGTGCCTGGTTGTTGCATGTTCGGGTGTTACTATCTTGAATTATAGTTTTTTTGTATGACAATCATCGTGATGAAATACCCGTTTGTTCGAATTGCATTTCAATATCTTAATTCGCGGATGTGCTCGTTCTTTTGCGTCCTAGGGTCTGTTCAGAGATGGTATCTGAGCATGTATGAAATCATTCAAATTCACAGCATCATTCATGTCTTTTGTTATGCAGATTTCTTTCTTCTTCGAGATAGCTCTTACCATTGATCCCTCATTATTGCTTCGCTGCATTTCTAACCAACTATAAAAACCTCCGCTTCTGCTCCTTGCATTCATTGCTTGACGTGCAACTGAGATGCGAAAAACGAAGTTTGACTGTCCTGTCATCCTCATCTCAATACCGGATTACCTTGATTGTCATATTTCCATTGCATCTTCAGTCATCTTGCCACATCACCATTTTGAGTGTATAAATGGGAACACGCTTTTGTTCAATGTCTTCTTGAATACAAGTTCTAACAGATTTACAATTCACTAACACCTGAATGGCTGCAGATATTCATCCCGTTTCGTTTGACTGGAAGAATTGCTTTCGGTCACGGACAAAATTGGAACCAGGCTGAATCGGTTGGCGGGCTTGCGGGCTGGTTGGCTCTCTGCCTCCCTTTGCCCGCTTGTGCCCGCCATCGCTGTTTCAGTTTCAGGACAACTCGATATCGAAGAACATTGAAATTACATCAACCTGTGGGTACCATATCATTGTAGTCAACTCTTTTGCACAAACCATCTTTTCGTTTTGTGCTCCCTTTCGTGAGAAATCTGACGTGCCTCTTGGGAACAGTACAATGAGCAATATGGAGGAAGAAACTTGGCGTCATATCCCAGATGATTGGATGCATTCGCAGGTTCGATTTCTTCTTCTCTCAGACAAGAACCAATTGATTCGTTTTTGCGAATCTGCGCAGAGGGAATTCGGGAATGATGATTTGTATTTCCGTCAAAATGAAGGATTTTCTCCTCCAATACCAACAGAAGGTTAATCAGATCGTGGCCATTGTCTAATTCTGTATGACAAATTTTGCAGTTGCTCAGCAGCTGCTTGTGGGCAACTCGGATTCCTCACCAGCACTTGACTCTTACTACAACCACAATGGCTCGACTGGGAATTCTTCATATTCAACATCGAAGGATGAACTCTTGCGTGCTCAGCCAGAGAACAACACTAACGGTGATCAATTGTGGCATAATATCTGCCTCTTTACCTCATTTTGGGAAGGCAATATCAACCCTGTCAACCTGGCCACACTGCTGAAAGATACTACTCTAGGATCCTACCTGACTGTGAGAGTCGAGCTGCAACTTTTTGTAACTGAACCATCCGCTTGCTGTAGAATTCTGTCCGAACTGTATCAAATCCATTGCGCAATGTTGTTGTCAAAGTTGTGGCAAACTATCAGAAAGTCGATGACTTGCACCAAGGTATCTTAATGCGTAATGTTCATTCCAGTCTTTGAACGTTGGTTTAGAAAAACCGCCACCAACTGAGGCTGTGAACAATCGATGCAAAACTATCCTTGCATTTCAGCAGGGAAGTGGGACACATTTGTGCTTTGGAATGTTTGTGAAGGAATACATCGAACTTGCCGAAATTTATGTAGACAGTGTGGACAGGTGATCTTGAAATTTCTATATATCATACCCTTAACATTTATGATACAAGCACCCCACTTCTGGAAGGTGAAAATGGGGAAGATCGGCAGAAAATGATGACTTCTATCGTCATTTCTTACATGAATTATTCCAAGAACCGGGGTTTCAAAAGGCTCTATTTACGGGTTGCTCCTCCAACCGATGAAAACAGGTAGGCGTGCAGAGCCCCAAGATTGATAGCCTTTTCATCATGCCGCAGCTTTATCTTTACGAGGAGATTGCCGAATGTAAGATTCAGGGCATCAATGCATTTGTCATTATGGTTCAAATATATTGTCCAAGCAGCCAGGTACACTCTTTCGAGAGCCATGTCCTCAGTTCTTGATTTGCTTGTAGCCGGAATGGAATCGTTCACGGAACTCACTGGAGCTCAAACCCGGGAGAAATTGAATTTCCCAGATGGATGCTCCGCGAGGTTTTGCTTTGATGATGGTCGGTGCGTCAGATACTGAGTTGATCTCAGGACGATCGTCGTGCAGAGGACGCTTACAATGCTGTCGCCTCTACACAGGTGAACTGCATGGCTGAAGATGTTTACTTGACTGGGATGTCTGTTAGGTTGAACCTCAGCATGGAGCAAAGGATCTCGTTGAGGTGGCACACCGCCTGCAAGATCGTTTCTTTGTCGTGAATCTGCACAATCCCAGTGCTCGGTGAGATCGAGGACTGCACTTGGAAACAGCTGATATTTTACAAGGTTGAAACGTGTTGAGGACGATGGCAACCTAGTGACCTCAGATGTCATGAGGGATCGAAGGTTGCTGCCCCCTGTGAGTGGCAAAGAGGAAAATAATTCCCCTGCCAGATCATTCGCAGAGATCTGCTCAAGGCAGCATCTCAGATTCAATGTTCCTGATTCCTCAGCGCAGTCGACAAGGATTCTGATCGGCATAGTGAGCACCCTTTGCTGCATGCCCTAATAGAGCTCACTGGAGCTACACAGATTGCATCAGAGCAACAAGGTGAAAGAAGTTCTGGATCAAGCTTGTCCGCTACCCAGCAGCGCTCGTTTTCCCAAAAGAGCCTACCGGGGGAGGGAGAAGTCTTGAGAAACCCCCAGGTGGATTGCAGCTGTGTGTGGCAGCAATGAGATGACTCGGATGAATTCAGTACGACTCCTTGAAGAAGGGTGAGATCTTACAAGGAGCGTCACGGTCGACTGCTGCCAGCAAGGTGATATGATCGATGAGCAGGCAGAAGAATGCGTGGGGCGGAGGGGTCAAAATCTGATTCTTGATTGGGTTCCATTGCTGTCCCTTACCTCTTTGACTTTCAAAGGACAAGATGAAGATTCTTCCCTCGAAATCTCGAAGACCGGCTGATAACGAATTGGGCATCGGCGAATCCTCCACCTCGACTATGTTTCCTCCATCGCGCATGATGTCGGCAGAATACGGGGCTTACATGGCATATCAGCAACAAGTCAGTTTACTCTGTCTTGGTATCTTGCTGATCGCGCTGCAGGCGTCGTTGGATGGGCACGCAGGGTTTCCCAGGGGAATGATGTATGGCTCAAGCAATCGCATGCCAGAAGCAGAATTCTCACGAGGGCAAATGTATGGAGGCATGCCGCCATATCATCCTGACATGTACCCCGGTATGCTGCGATGAGATTACCTAGAGCATGTGACGGGGTTTTGTTGCAATGCAAGGCATGATGGAGGAACTGAAAGGTCGACCCTCCATGGGTATCCCTCCACACGTCAGCATGTCTCATCTGCATCCGGACATCCGCTGGATGGGCGAGCCCACACGAGGAGGGCTCGGGTGGTCACACGCTTCACCACGAGATGCAATTGCGCAGGCGAATGGGTTGGGAGGGTGAGGAGCGAGCAGACGAGTGTTGACGGGGTTAACTGAGCTGCTGTCAGGTTCGGGGTTGATGGAGTGGAACATGGCTTCAGGGGCAACGGGCATGGCTTCCCTTACGATGTCCATTACGCTTCGCCGCTGGCCAATGGTGAGTGCACTTGTTGAGAAGCGTGCGGAACTTGTGACGGATGGGAGCAGGTCACCTGAGCTCGTCGATTCAAGCTGTGCAGGCTGCTCAAGACCTGCAGATGCTTCAGGGTCAGATGCCCATAGGGTGGAGGGGTGGAGATGTTTCAGCGTCTTCCAAGCGAATCGCCGACGGGAGGAGGATACCTCCTGGGGTTGCAGTTCCAGCAGCGAGGAAGCTCAGCAACGGTATCCCCAACGGTAGCCCTAGCGTGACGAAAGCAGCTACAGGTAGAGAGAATTTGAAGCGAATTATCTTCTTTGACAGTCGTCCAGGTATGGAAGCGATGAAGGGTATACTCGCAGTGAAAGATGAAGGTCAGACCCTCTGATGCTGTGCTCCCCTCTGCCCGCCTCATCTTGTCTCACATAGCCCTTCATCCTCCTAACTTGTCCTTGCAGATCCTGCGAGTCTCGTACAATCCAGCATCATGTCAGTGCCTCCTGTCGCTAATCTGGACAAGAGGCCTCGAAGCTCTCCCGCCAAGTCCGACATTGCTTCTCCTCAGTCCCTCACCGGCTTGTCCATGGGGCTCGAGGCCTCCCAGAACAAGGTGAGACCCTCGGGACTCCCTTGCGCTGCTGCTCACCTTGGCTGCAGAACAAGAGGAAACGAGAGAGCAGCAAGGCAGTGAAGCCGATGCTGATAGGGCAAGATTTTGGGGAGGGGAAGGGGGATGGCAAGAGCGATCTTGACACCTCATTGCTGGACGTGGATGAGCTGCAGCTGTCGAGTGACTTCCTGGACGCGGACTCGTTCCTGGTGACGTCAGGGCTGGTGCCTCCCTGAAAGCCTCGCACCTCCTTCGAGTCGGACATGTAGATTAGGCGTGACAAGCCGGAGACACTCCAGTGATTGTAATAATTATTTGAGAGCTACAGACCACCCCCTGCCACTGCTCTGCCTCCTCCTCCTTCTACTACTCCTCCTCCTCCATCACTGCCACTTTCACTTTCTCCTCCTCTTCTCTCCTACACTTTCCCCTCGTCCGGCTCATTCAGGTTCGGTGTTCGAGTCAATCTGCTCTTCTCTTCCTTACTGCTACATGTCTCGCCCCTCCACTTCTTCCTCCTCCCTCCTTTGAAGCAGCTGCCGCCACCTTCACCTCCAGCGACGCTCGCAGACCCGCCCACGAGTCTCTTCCCCACTCCTCCAAGTCACAGAAACTCCATCCTCCCCTTGCCCATGGTCAGCTGCCAACACGCCAGCAGCATCAGCAAGCTTACCTATCTTCCTCTCTCCTCCTCCTCCTCCTCTTCCTCAAGACGTGGAGGGCAAGGCGGATGAGGTCTTCAGCATCTCGAGCGATGAGTAGGTGGAGGTCTTTCTCCCTTGCCATGAGGCTCGCGGAGACTCGCGATACCATGAGCTCGCCGGGGAGAGTCGCCTGCTCTGACTCAGATGGAAGGCGCAGCAAAATGCAGGACAAGAGGCAAGGAGAGAATTGAAGAGAGGAGGAGGAGGATTTGCTGAAGCACCACCAGCAGCAGCAGACAAAGGAGGGCCGCAAGCAAGGGCAGCAACAATAGGAAAGCAAAACAAGAAATGGAGTTGGAAGTCAAATGCACGAGGAAAAGGAGGAGGCGGAGCAAGAGGAGGAGGAGACCAAGGAGGAGAGAGAGCAGGACCAATACCAGCACCAGCAGACTCACCACAGGCACATTCGACCTCAGCCATTCCGCTGTCGTCGAGTGTCCATTGTACCGCATTGAGTCGAGGAGGAGGTCAGATCTTTCCTTGAGCGCCTGACGTGTTTCAACGGCTGACTGGAGGACAGGAGGAGGACAAGGGACCAAGCAGAGGAAACAGCAGATGGAGGCGAGTTGAAAGTAGTAGTAGTAGTAGTAGTAGTAGTAGGAGGAGGAGGAGGAGGAGGAGGAGGAGGAGGAGGAGGAGGAGGAGGAGGATTAAGAGGGGAAAGAGTCGAAACGAGAGTTTTGACCTCGTAGGATCGTTTGTCAAGGGAGGCTGGGAGCTTGAGAATGCGACTGGAGGCGTTAGAGACCCCCAGGACCGAGAGTGTGTGGAGGATACGATGACTACAGGAGGAGGAGGATCAGCAGAGGAGGGAGGAGAGCAGGGGCTCTTGCCTTGCCATGGAGGAGATAGGAGGTAGCCATAGGAAGGAGGAAGGGAGTTGGAGGAGGAGCTTCGAGACTAGAGTCAGATACTCCCAGCTTGAGTTAATTCCAACGCTCTCTTCGAACATTCTCCTCAACCTCTGGCTGTCTGGCGGGATACGCATCGAAGGAGGGGGGGAGAGAGAAAATAAGTGCGGGGAAGGAGGAGGAGCTTCTCGGCAAACCAATCTTCCTAGAGCGCTAAGTGAGCAAGAGAGAAGAGGGAAAGAGCTCAAACATATTCAGGGGGCGAGGCAACAGGATCGCCGAGGAGGAAGTCGTACGCATGTCCTACCTACAGGCAGATCTTACCACCACCATCATCTCCTCCTCCTCCTCCTCCTCCTCCTCCTCCTCCTCCTTTCCTCCTCCTCATCCTCCTCTCCTCCTACCCCGGTAGAGCCAACGACGCCGAGCATGGCGACTGACAGGCAGGAGGGACGGAGACTGTTGACCAGGACGTGGTGTGGGCCTGACGAGCCCGACGACCAGCCGTCGATGTCAAGGAGGATGTGAGTACCAGCCGCATTGATCCTGCGAGCGAGCAAGGAGGAGGAGACGTCCGAGCTCGCCACCCACCGAGAGCAGGTATGCCTGATCCCTTCCTTCACCTCCTCGTCTGATCCTGATCCTGCTCCTGCTCCTGCTCCTCCTGCTCCTGCTGAAGTCTTGTAGCAAGTGACTGAGAGGACGTTCCTGTTTCTGAGCTCCTTCCACCCCAGCAGCGCACCCAGCAGAACTTGACCGTGAGGATGGTCGTGTGGATGTGCCGCGAGGATCGCCAGATTGACTTGAACCACTCGGGACTTGAGGCTGGAGGGAAACAAGAGGAGAAGGGGGAGGAGGAGAAGGAGGAGGAGAAGAAGAGATAAGGAGAGCATGGAGAGGAGAGACAAGAAATGCAGGGAGAGAAGGAGACGGGGAGTGGGTTGGTGGTAGGCAAGGATGGGAGAGGAGGAGAGAGGAAAGAGGAGTAGAAACAAACATGTTAGCTTCTTCAAGCACAAGTTCACAACGTTACCTCTCGCAGACTTTCATGGCAAACTTGTTGCCTCCTCCATCCTCTCCGTCCTCTCCCTCCTCCCTCGCTCGCAGGCTCCTGGCCTGTGCTCCCATGAACTCTGCAGTCCCTCCATCACCTTCATCATCATCATCCCATCAGCTACCAAGAAACTGTCGGTGAGGGAGCAGCATGAGCGCTTCCACGTGTCCTAGAGGAATCCCTTGCTCTCCCCTCCTCGCCATTTCTCCCCTTAACGACCTACACAGCAAGTTGTCATAATCCCACCCTTCCCTTCCCCTGCTGTGCTTTGACCTACACCACCACCACCACCACCACCACCTCCTCCTCCTCCTCCTCTTCCTGCTTCCCCTGCTTCAGCGCCCTCCTCTTTCTTCGTCCCTTGCCCTTCTCTCTCTTCCTCTCCAACCTGCTGATGTCATCGGCAAGGTCAAAGTCGCATCCCCACAACGCAAAGTGAGCTCTGCAAGCAAGCGCGCATGGAAGGAGAGGAGACGCGCGTTCCGCTTGTCTGCATGCGCCGTCGGCCAGGAGGATCAGCGACTTGGAGGCCAGGACTTGCGTCAGATGGCACAGAGCTTCCCCGTCCTCCTCCCACAATCTGCCGCTGCTGTCTCAGCCATGGCTTCCTTCCTCCTCCTCCTCCTCCTCCTCCTCCTCCT